AAGCTGAGCTCAGCTCCCTCTTTCAAGGAGAATTAACCAGCCATCACAATCAGGAAAGAGAGACATTTTATAAAGATCAGTTACCATCCTCAGTGTCACTGATTTAACATCTGCAGTTTCTAAGAAATAATACAGAGTAACATTCCATTAATACTCACAAAAATATATTAAACGTTGCTGCTATATGGCAAAATTAGTCACAAAGTATTTGAGCAATGGAACTTGCACTGTTTACCACCCTGTAAAGTTAGCAGTGACTCTGCTGGTTTGGCAGCTACAGCAATTCAGGAGTGTAAAACAATAACCCGTATATAACACAGGAAGAGAACCCACATAAATGATATGCAAGACCATAATTTATACCAGGAGAGCACGTACGTGTACTCACTATTTAACTGAAATGAAATGATGGCAGAGTACTTCAGTGTTTAAAAATATGCTTTTGAAATTCCAAGGGCTGAGATGCATACATTCCTCAGTAAAATGCTGTAATAAACTTGAAGTATTAAGACTTGGCATTCAATGTTGTTGCTTCTGTCACTATACAAATCAGTCTTCTGTTAGCATCTCTTGACAATATGCTCAATTTTAGATCTCAGCATATGAATGTATAACATAATTATATACGATATGTATAATTGATACAGTAAAAACTCCTACCACAAGAGGTTTAATATAGGGCTGCAAAATGAGATACATTCAAACTTTTTGGGGAAAAAAAAAACCAACAGAAGAAAACAGACCACAAAAATGTTGTAATTGAGCTACTAATGCAAGAGGAACATTTCTTTATAATTTGAGGAAAAAGCAAACAGACTCAGTCTGGCAGCTCCCTGCCTGAGAAGCTTAAAATGAAGTTACACAACAAATTTGCGGTACATTTGATGGACAGTGCTCACAACTTCCAGATTACCTCTTTAATCTAATCTGATTTATTTTCTAGTTAAATCAACAGCAGTGTGACTACACTGTAGATCAGATGTGTATCCCCTCGAAGAAGTGCAACAAAAAAGAGGATCAACTTCAAAAAGAGGCAGGATAGGTAACTTTGCAGCAGCAGTTACACTGGTTAATGACAACAGTGCTTGTTCCCCTTGTTAGGGGACAAAATTTAAGAAATAAATAAAATGCAATCTACAAACATAGAATCATTTCATGAGACTGGAAGAAGGAAAAAAGCTTTCTTCCATTACCCCCTCAGCTTTCCCCCATCACCAGATGACCCCTCATTACTCAAGCACTTCACTTAGCAGTGAACAGTATTTTAACCTGCATCCCTAGTGACACAACACTGAGAGCTCATTTTGCTACTGTCTGTTCCACTCAGTTTATGGCAAAGGAATAGTGCGAATAGTGCAAGAAAGTGCTGGCAGCAGGATTTCTCTGCAGTGAAAGAAACATATTAATCAAGGAATTGTATGGCCATGCAGCTGCTTCTTGGGTTGTACAAAGAAGCCATCTTCAGTTGCTGAAACACAAACATTTATCTTAATTCTGATTCCAGTCCCAAAAGCTCCTGTTTTGCAAGAGGTATAATCTAGAATTCAAAAGACAGAAATAAAAGATCCATGCAAAATAACACTTCAATACCTATCTTCTCAGATCTACAAACAGAGCGATTCCTCTTTCAGATTATCTTTATCCACTGGGGTGGCTTCTCATGATCTGACCATATCCAGACCTCTCTGAAAAGTCACTTCACCTCTTCCATAGAAAATAAACATGATCATTTCTTGCCAAACTCACTTGAATGAGGTCTGGGAAGCACCTTCAAATGGTCCAAATCCTTTCTCATCTTATATTTATAACAAAATAGCACTGGTGGCCTCTCACCATTACTACTCACTATTCAAGCAAAGTAGGGTTTCGTTACGCAGCTCGAATTAAAATAGCCTAAGATAATTTATGAGAGACATGAAGAAAGAGTTATGCTTTTAACAGACAATTTGGGGGTAAAATACTACCAATATGCAAAAATCTTTGACAGCCAAACAATAACTCTGTCTCTTATTACAGAGCTCAACCCCAAAAGGGTAGACTCCATAACTCTCCACACTTCTGCTATACCCTGAGGTGTTTCTAAGATGATCACTGTCAGAATCAAAGAGTCTATAAAACGGATGAAGGAAGCTGGGAAGATTTCTACCGAGGTAGTGCCAGGAAAAAAAAAAATACAACGAATATTTCAACCATCCTTGAGATAAGCCAGGCTGCACCACATGCATTTAGTCACTGAAGTCCAAGAGCTCCCCCACCTGACCTTTGGGATCACTGCAATCATATCCAGAAAATAAGCATTTGTTTTCATGGATGCAAAGTTAAAAGTCTGCTCAAAGAGGTATTCAGATTTACCCCTCAGAAACCAACACTTCTTCACAGAAGAGCTTAAGGACTTATTAACAGAAGTACTCAGGGTGAAGAAGAAAGAAATGACTTGGGCAAGTGGCATACTCTTGCCGCACGCTTAAGGGAGCAAGATAAAGGCCTTTCAAACCAGCAATGGCATCCTGCCATCCATACATCTATTTTTGCATTACGTATTTATGTACATAAAGAAGTTCACTTCAACAGGAAACACGGTCAAACCTCATTTCTTCCCTACTGCATAAGGTTTACACTGCTAGTTACCAGAAAAAGACCTATACAACTACAGAACAGCTGCATAGGTCCCCTTCATTCCCTTTTAAGCATGGTAAAAATACCTTTTTCTTTTTTATTCTCCTAAACCAGATCCAGAGCATATACTTGCTTTGACTTCTAAGCAGAAAGACCTGAGCTCCTTTCAAGTAGGCTGTATGATCCGTCTTCTCCATTTGTAAGTATTAGCAGCTGAATTCTTCAACAGCTGAAACTCTTCTTAGGGGAACAGTCAGGTGTTCCCCTAGCATGTCCCCAAATTCCTTAACAGGATTAGACAGAAATAAAAGCTACTGAGAACTTCTAAGATCTGGTATTTGTCAGACACAATTTTCCATCTACAGTTCTTAGTTCTTTCTTATTCTTACCCTCTGCATATACACCATGCTACACGCAGGTGTTTGGGGATTTCCTTTTTGAAGGGTATCTTTGTTTTTCTATCATGCAATCTGTATTTTCCACAAGAAAGAAAATAAACATATATAAGAACATAAGGAAAAGCCACTGTTTAGAACAACTTCATGCAATAAGTTTATCATCCTTATGATAGACACAATATGTTGGCACCCAAATGTTATTCACATTACTCAAAACAAACAACACCAACAATAATGACATAGAACACAGAAAAGGTTGTTAAGCACTGGAACAGGGAGGTGGTTGAGTCACCATCCCTGAATTTGGATGTGGTGCTCAGGGACATGATTTAGCAGTGTTATACAGTTTTAGTTCAGGCCACAAATACTCAGTGTACATTTCATTTAGCATCTGTTCTCTAAATTTTGCTCACAGTGTGAGAGTTTATTTGTTACCAAGCTGTAAAGGCACTAGTTCCATGTTGGAGTGAGCTTTTCTTTTCAAAGTAACCTTATTTCTGCTTCTTGAAAGAAAGAACCTTCTATTGCAGGATCAGAACAAAAAGCGAGCAGAAGACAGGCCAGGCAAATCTCATAACACACAGGCATGGAAGGAGTGGCTAGAGGCAGATATGACCACACAATACTCATGCAAACCTCAGGCCAGCTGCCTGTACAACTCTCAGAGCAGTTAACTCTTGCATGCTGAAACAGACACTCCAAAGTGGTGCACCTTGCTGATGGTCACTGCACTGCCGGGGCAAAGAAAAGTGGTTTTTGTGTGCTCATGGCACCACCTACTGGAGATGAGTATCAAATTTTGATCTAACTGCTTTTGAAGATGTACTAAAAAATTGAAAATCTAAGATGAAAGCATGCTCCATTTCATTCAAAATCCAAGTTTCTTGACATCCAACTTGCTTAACAGAGGTAGCATAAGTGATTCTGCAAAATCCTTGTACATCTAACTGCCTGAACAAAGGAGACTAAGAATCACAAATGCTGGCAAAACAAGTTTTCTGGAACGTTGGAAAAGGTTTTTAAAGGGCACATTTATAGCTGAATGCTTCAAGTCCAGCCCCTTTTTCCACCCTTTTTTAAGACTGTAGAAGAACGTTATATCCATTTATCACAGGATCTTCATTGTTGGTAGCTTTTATATGCCTGCAGGCACTAACAGCCTGGAGATACACGGTGACACTGGGGACTCATATTACAGAGAGCTGGGAGGATCTTGTCTGCCGGTGCCAGGGCATTATGGCAGCAGTTTCACGCTGACATTTGTGTGCAAATTAGAGCTTAAATGTCAATATTTATTAGTCACATCAAGATCTTCATCAAAGCTCTTCTGGGTTAACTAAGTCTCTCTGGTTATACTTTTAAATAAGAAGCTTTAGAAAAAAAAAAAAAAAAAATACTGGTTCTTGCTAACTTACTCCAGATCTGCTAGCTTCTTAATTTCATCCTTATCTATTAATTACTTTTGTGGAAAATTATTTCCAACCAGTTTATGCATCAGCAGTGTTGAAAAATGCTTATCATCGTTCTAAGAATTGACCACAAAATACTTCAACCTACCTTGTCCCTGGAGTTGAAAGTATATTTATAAACTTAAAAAACACAACTTTTAAAGTAACTGAAATCCCTTACCAACAAAACAATGTAAGAACAACACTACTGAATTACTTCAAAAGCACCCACACATTCCTATCATCATTTAGTCTCCTGTGCATTAGCTTCCAAAAATGTGTCAGATGTTAAAATCTGTTTTTAATCAGAATGTCAAAAAGCCTTCCTAATTCTGCTGCTAGGTCACCAAGCCAAGTCAGCCAGAAAGAAAATAAAACTGTTTTCAAATGTAGAGAAGGAGGAAAAAAAAAAAAAAAAGTGGGAAGTGAGAGATTAGGTAGGCCTGATGAAATTAGGTGCGAGAAAAAGGACTTCACATGGTCTCCAAGTACAACAAGGCAATGGTATGTAGCTACTACCTGTCAAGATATCGCTTACCAGGATTTTGGCTCCCCAAAATGCAAGTAGTTGATACTGTAGAGATCCATGTCTTCTGTATGCCAAGCAAACGTTGTCTTCCACATCCCAAAGTAGAGGTAGGGAGTGTTTACACCTTCTATAATAATACCACACTCATGTTCCACCATGTCTAACAGGGTGTTCAGATTGCCAATATTCCATTCTTCCACATCCTATAATTCAAAGTAAATGTTTTGTACTAGAGCACATCAGGACTTGGTACAGCACAGCAACAGCCTACAGCTTCCTTTAGGTGCCTTAACATGTGGATATCCTAGTGTTATTCTGAAGATCCATTTATTTGCATTAATTCAATTCTACCTTTTTCCAGAAGGTTTACTATTAACTTTCATCAATAATCACGAAAAGGATCCATTACCATTACTTTTGGTAAAGGGATCGATCACTAGCTTCTCACTGTGTTCTCTGAAGAGGCACTTCCATTCTGTGGTACTCTACCATTCATTAACTGATCTACTAATAAACGCAAGATAAACTAAGGGTAAAATATGCTTCTCTCAGTAACATTTTATCCCGATGTTCTTCACCTGATGAGTATGTATAAGCAGATCAGAATCACTAGACTGAAATGTGGCCTGTGGGGCAGAGACCTCTACATGAGCTCAGTGCTTCAGATAAAGAACAGGGAAGATGGTTTAGTAATTATCAGTATTTAAACAGAAAGAAAAAAAAAAGCAATAATAGGAATTGGTCTAAAACTGCCTATTGGTTTTCTCTACTTCAATAAAGAATAGAAAAAAACTTATAAAAATCTTTAACCTTGCAGTTGTCTACAGAGCATTACTATCTCCAAAAGCAAACTATCTCCTTTCATATCCCTTCTCTGGTGTGCTTAACATGCCGGTAAGTAGCTGATATGTATGCAAGCAATCCCAGCTCCATGCTGCTTCCTGGAGTAACTGCTAGAAAATGAAACAAACTGCTCAATCTTTAAACTTTCTATATCAAACTAAAAACAAAAACAAAAAAACAAATGAAAAAAACCAGGCAGGAGAGAAAGAATTGAAGAAAGGAAGCAGCTGTAAATGGAGATGAAAAGAAGCGCAGAGAAACTTTTATCATTCCAACAATTTAATGCTTGCAGTGGTATCGGTAATCGGGCAACAGGAAATGTTCTTTAGACGCCATTGGTAGTCCGATTACTTAATTTCTGTTTAGAGGAACTTGAAGTTAACTGAAGGAAACAATATGCATTCTGTACATGAAGAAACTGCTTCTCCAAAAACTTGTACATGATACTCGTATCACAGCACCAAATACTGGGTAACTCTGAAGTCTATGGCTGTGATGACTTCAGAATCCAAGTTCCTTCCAATTAAACCCATACTAAACCATAATGATAACAGAAAGACACTTATATACCAAGAGAGTTTATACTGTGGGCAGTCAGACAATACTCCAGACAATAGGCCACATTCTACTCAAAAGATAACTACAGAAGAGAGGCGCAGCTTTAAGTTAGTTGTCTTCGAAGCAAATTCTAAATCACTGTTCCCTAATAGGAACAGCAAAAAAACACATTAATGAGAAGTCTCACTTACTGCGTCATACAGAGAGCCACTGATATCAGCCCCATAAATTGGTGAGACAAAAGTGAGATTCTTCCAGTACTTGCGCTCCAAGTCTTCAAAATCTTGATGGCGTGGCGTACAATATCTGAGAACACAGAAGAGGCAAGGATGCAAGAAGTCCTACGACACTCTCATTGCAGACAGACAAATGGCTGACAAGAAGAGTGCATCTCTCAGCACTGTGAATACCTGCTAACACTCCTACTAGTCAGCATCAGAAAAAACTATAGTTTAGGCAGCAGATTATATACAGCACACAGTAAAATTGGACATGCTTTTATCGTATCTTCCATTTCATTATCTCAAAGCAACATGCAAACAATCAGCAAATTATCTAATCTATAATCTAAATAGATTATATGAAAGTTTAAAAAATTTAGTAAGAAAGAGAAAAAAGGCAAAGAAGAAAGTAAACCAGATTAAAATTATGTTGCAATGCATGTATACAGCAAAGCACAAAACACAAGCGTTTTTGTTTCTAGTCCTGCAACCTATGCTAATAAAGCTCTTCTCTCTTCATCTCCTATTGCCCATAAAAAATAAGTTAACATTCAAAGCAGACACACTTGAGAGGTTGCTGAGATGTATTCCACTTTTAATTCTATTCAGATTCATCACATTTACTGCCTTTTAAATCTTTCTACAAAACCTCTTAGTGCATATCGACAAACAGGATGAGCACTTACGTGAAGCATCAAATCCTCATCCTAGCAATGCGCGAGATGAAGTTATTACAGTTTGCTGAACACAGGTAAAGCACTCTTATAGGCTGTGTTAGCAGTATTTCAAAGTTGACTGCATGTTGTCAGTAACGCTTGAGTAAAAACTTGAAATATTCCAGAGCTCTGGGAAAATAACTCTAGAAGAATGATGCAACCATAGCTTGTATCAGTTAGCTTGTCCCAGTTAACTAAGTGTTTTGCAACATTCCCAGGCTCTTCAGAAGACACTCAGACACTCAAGCGTACTCACATTTGTACCTGAGCACTGAAACATTTTCCAGAATAACAATTAACAGACTGGGAGCTCTCTGTGGAGCCTTAAGCCATTGTTTTCAGGCATAGACTTAGTCAGACTTCAAAGAATCTTTCTATAGAAACTCTGAGAAAAAGATCGAAGATGCACACCAAAAACCATGAAGTTATCTACCGGTTTGAAATTCTGGAGGTCAATTATCAAGAAAATGTTGTTTCTTTCTAAATGCTTCCTATTTAACATGGCTGGCTATATTTTCTTTCCAGCTTGTTGTCAGAAAAAAAAGACTTACTGCACTACTCTTCCACTCACAATGTAAACACACTTAACACTGACATACTTCTCGCTATTAGCCAGACGCCGGTACTCTCCCACAGTCATCGGTTTCTTCTGTATATTGTACTGGGTGAATAATCCTGACTGGCCAGTAACCACCTGCTGAATGGGAGCTGGGATAACCATATCATCTATGTCATCATAGGTTTTTCGGGGCTTCCACTCCTTGGGAGGAATCACCTGAAAATAAAAACACCAAAATTTTCAAAACAGGCAAACAATTTCTACTGAGTTAAACAAGTTTAAACAGAAGGTATTTCATCCCACTGCTATATGTTATTTGATAACAGCAGCATCTCAAATAACCAACAAATCCTTTCACATCAGTCTACATTACTATTCCATCTAGAAGATCAGAAACATTAAAGGGGGAGGATGTTGCTTTTGCTTTGTTTGTTTTTTAAACTAGGAAGGCTCACAATCACAAATGATATCATAGAATCATGGCAAGGTTTGGATTGGAAGGGAACCTTAAAGACCACCCAGTCCCAAAGCCTGTCATGTGCAGGGATACCTTCTACTAGATCCTGTTCCATTATTCCTGTGGGTGTTTCTGGATTACAGGCACACATCTGTGAACATCCAGTGTGCAAGTGAAATGAAAATATATATATCTACAATCTAATTTGGTGGAAAATTTACCAAAAAAAAAAAAAAAAAACCAAAACACCCAAAACATTAGGGGAATGTGAACTTAGTGATTTTTGTAGCCATGGTTCCTTTAGGATATGATGAGCTCTACTGCTATAACACAGCTCTAACTGGTAGCTGCACTAAATTAAACAGAGAAATTAACTTGAAATGCTGAGATTTAGTCCTACAGGAAGTCATTTCTCTATAACGTTGGCAATTCACCAACAACCTTTATTAAAATACCTCAGCCAACCCACAAAACATAATTGCCAGTACACTTGAGTGGACAAGGAAACATTTCACAGACAGCCTTTTATAATACTTTGCTCTACTTACGACTGAAATAAAAACAGCAATTGACCTATTTTAAAAGAAATCACTATTATTTCACGCCTAAAAGCTTTACTTCTCTGCTGTGCCATATTACATTCTGCTAAATACCACGCTTAACAACTACTTTCTCAGAACAAATGCTCTCTCAGCTATAGAACAACATGACACTACCACAGAAACAATACGTCTAAACAGTTAGCTGTTCTTCTTTCCCAAGAGGCATGTCATATGCATCATATGTCACATACTGGGATTTTAAAGTATCACATGAAGAGTACTCATGATGTTTCGTCGGCTTCAATGTAAAGACACAGATGGGCAGGAAAGCTGGAAAGAGGTTTTAGAACTTGCTGCAGGGTTTTCAGGTGCTTTTGGGGAACACACACCTACGTGACACATTTACAGGTCTAGATTCAAGTTAGCACAAGGTAGTTGCTTAGGGCATAAAAAAAGCTAAGAGTAAGAAGTCTGCACCCATACACATGGATGTGACTTCAGACCCCCTTCACTGTCCAACTCTAAGCAGACCTGAAAAACCCAACAATCTAAGGAAGCTGAAAACCTCACAGCTCCTTGAGGACCTTAGCTACCATCATCTGTATTTTCAGCAATAGACTTGGGACATGGCAGTACCCTTAACCATCTCTGTAAGGGCTGAGAATGTTTTTGTTTCCCCACTGGAGATCAGAAAAATATATACTTTAACTAAACACTTATTTCACTCTTGTGAAAGGCCCATAACATCTTTGCCTCTATTTTATTGATAAATCAAAATGCAGAGATTGCAAATACAATTTTAAAAAACTTGACTACACAAAAGAACATTACTTCTGAGTGATACCACTGCACAGGTGCCTTGGCTATAGAGCCTCAGGAAGACATTCTTCAGAAAACTTTTAATTCCCAGAACTGGATGAACTCACCTTGGCAAGCCCTGCTCGGTGAGCTCCTTGTGATTCAATGTAAGCAACGTATTTCCCAAAGTCCCGAAACTCCTCAAGAGTGGGACGAAAGGTCATAATCTTACAGCCAGGGTTCTGCGGACTTGGGTTTTCAGACCCCATATTTTCAGGAGGGTGGCAGCACCTAAGCAGTGAAAACAAAACAGGAGGGAAAAAAAAAAAAACAAACAGTAATTAATCATTATTTTCTTTCTACATGCTTTAATGAATTTCATAGAAAGGTAGCAATATTTGTGATTTCTCTCTCCTCCCACTCTCCAAGGAAGTATTTATAAGCAGAAAATTCTAACATGGATATGAAGGATTTCTGATCAAAAATCCAGTATGTCTATTTGCTCGCAGGGCTCTAAGAAGAGTGAAGTATCAGCAAACTCCACAAGGTTTTCTTGCATTTCACTACTGTTTTCTGTCAAGGCATTCAAAGCTGCAGTGACAGAACTCATTTCTAAAACAGCTGCCATTACAATGCTGACTTCTCACTTCCATACAGGAGAATGCCACACTAATGTGAGTGTATTTATAACTGCGTAACCAAACCTACACTTGAGCAGACCAGAGGAAATGACTGCATTAGGAATATGACAGGAACACTAGTATCACTTGAGAGTTCAACTACTGCCTAAATATATCACATAGACTTAACACTGGCCCCTTCCATTCATCATCTGAAACTGTGCCTCACCAGAACGGCAGTCAAGAACAACAAACTCCTCCCTACCTCCAGCATATGTCAGTGCACGCATGGAGCTAGCTGTCCCTCAAAGCTTCTCATCTGAGTGCTTTTATATTTAGCTTCAACAAAAATTTAAAAAAAAATAACCACTCACCAGCTCTGGGAAATGTATTAGCCATTATTTCCTTTTTTTTTTTTTTTTTTTTTCCCCCATGCTAGGCTATATAAAACATTACAACAGGATCTTTTTTAAAATGTGGTGTTATTACGTGTTGTTTGCATTTACACAAAGAAATTAAGTGCCAGGCAATTCATTAAAAAAAAAAAAGTGTAACTTCAAAGTGCCTTTCAATTTGAAAAGCCAAATTGTTCAATCACTTCAAAATTGGCAGGGAAAAAGAACCCGAAGCAATTCAGGATGAAATCACTATTTTGAAAACAGACTTTTATAAGGCTATCCTAGAAACTTAGAATGCAAACAATAAGTTTCAATGGCAGTTCAGTTGCAGCAGCTCCACGTCGGAGTGGGTCCGGCGCAGCGCTCGTGCTGTCAGCAGAGGGCACCGCGAGGCTTTCTCCAGGAGCAGTCAGACCCAAAATCAAACGCCAACATCACAAGTGCGGTTGAATTTAAATCGACTTCGACCTAATGAAGAAGTATTCCAGATCCTACTAAAAATACTCTTTGTGTTAGCAAAAAGATAGTCGGGCTGCCATATCATGGCTTTAATCAGTGAGTACGGAATACATCTATTTTTCCAGAGCCCATCCCGCAATTACCAAAAACAGCACAGACAGCACCCAGCTCTCCAGAGACACTGAGGTTTCCTTTACAATTCTAATGGGGTAAAACACTTTTCCTTTCAGAGCCAAATGAACCCACTTGTCTTGGTAGGCAATGGGGCAACCGTGTGCCAGTAGTCTGCCCTGTGGCCAAGGCAGCCAATGGTTCCCTGTGGTACACTGCACAGAGCAGAGCCAGCAGGCAGGGAGGGTCTCCTCCCCTCTGCCCCAAGGAAAGCACAGCTGGAGCACTGCACCCAGAGCTGGGCTGCCCAGTCCCAGGCAGACAGGGAATGGCTGCAGAGAGCCCAGCAGAGGGCTGCAGAGATGGTGGGGGCCTGGAGCACCTCCTGATGGGGACAGGCTGAGAGCCCTGGGGCTGTTCACCTGGGGACTGGGAGGGATCTGATCAGTGCTGATCAATATGTGAAGGGCGGGGGTCAGGAGGATGGGGCTGGGCTCTGTTCTGTGCTGCTCAGCACCAGGACGAGGGGCACCGTGCACAGACTGGAGCCCAGGGAGTTCCATATGGGCGTGAGGAAGAACTTCTGTGCTGTGAGGGTGGCACGGAGAGGTGGAGTCTCCTTCCCTGGAGATGTTCTGATCCCCCTGGGTGCTCTTCTGTGCAGCTGCGGTAGGGAACTGCTTCTGGGGGGCTTCAGAGTCCCCTCCTGACCACTACAGTTCTGTAGGGGTTGGAACCAAAACCTTTCTAGGCAAAACCCTTCACTCCTCACCTCAAGTGCCAGTAACAACCACATTTCTACCAGAAATCACTATCCTCTGTTCTCTTGAATCATAGAATCCTTACAGTTGGAAGGGACCTCTGAAGGCCATCTAGTCCAACTCCCCTGCAATGAACAGGGACACCACAGCTGGGTCAGGTTGCCCAGGGCCTGGTCCAGCCTCACCTTGAAAGTCCCCAGGGATGGGGTATCAACCACATCACTAGGCAATCCATTCTAGCACCTCACCACCCTCGCTATATAAGATTTTTTTTCCTTATATCTAACCTAAATCTACACTCCTTGAGCTTGAAGCTATTTCCCCTTTTTCTATCACCACAGACCCTGCTAAAGAGTCAGCCCCATTCTTTCCTCTAGCTCCCCTTTAGATACTGAAAGGCCACTATCAGGTCACCTCAGAGCCTTCTCTTCTTCAGACTGAACAATCCCAGCTCTCTCAGCCTGACCTCACAGGACAGGTGTTCCATTCCATAGATCACTTTTGTGGCCCTCTTCTGGACACGCTCTAACAGCTCCATATCTCTCCTGTACTGAGAACTCCACATCTGGATGCAGTACTCCAGGTGAGGCTTCACCAGCACAGAGTAGAGGGACAACCTCTACCAATCACTTCCATCTTCAGTGAGGCCCTACCTGAAGAAATTCCCAATCCTGCCATACAGAAAGGATTTTGCTACGCTTTGTGGTCCATATTTTAGAAAAAGAAACATCTAATGCATTTGTGCACAATTTACTACACAAATGTTTTACAGAAACATAAAAATAGGAACCAGCACCTCCTGTCCCTGATGGAAGGCCTCTGGGCCAACTGGCAACCAGCTCAGGACAGTCATAATTAATTGTGGGTTATTGAAGAAAGCACTGCCCACAAGGAAATACAGAAGAAAAGCGAGCACTGGAGACATGGGACATGTAGAAATGCCATCCCCAAATCTGTGTTCAAATGCAGTCGCACCGAGAACGCTTCTGTTATTTTTAAAGCAGAAGCAGAAGTGCCACAGGCACTGGCGCAGCCAGGCCGGTGTGCCTGGCCCAGAGAGAGAAACCCAAGCTCCTTCCTGAGCAGAACCTGTGCCAATGCCATCTGCTTCATGAATGCCTTTCAGTATTTGCAGTTTTACCTCAGTCAGGAACAGAAAGAAGGAAAAAAATAAAAATAAAGAACCCAGCGCCAACAGAGAGCACAAAACACGTGCTGCAGTGGGCAATGCTATAGCAGCGGCATCACACCTTGCCGCAGGAAAAAGAACCACAACCATCAGAATTACTCTGAACAAACAAGGTGGCTGGGCATGGCTAGAAGAGAGAGAAAGTTTCGCAGCAGTACCAACCTGGATAGCTACCAAGCCCCCATCAGTGGCCATTTGTTCTTCTCCTGCGCCAAATGCTGCGGTGCCACAGAATGCAATGAGCGGGGAGCTGACGCAGCGCAGTTACAAGGGTAGGACTCCTGTGGCAGCAACGCAAAGCCACCTCACTGAACCACAGTCTCATCAGGAGATAAAAAAAAAAGCATTTCAATCCACTGAACCACTTACAGAAAAAAAACTTAAGTGATAAAACTTTTTCAGAAGGCACAGTTATAACAAGGTCCCCTCCTAGAACATAGTCCCTATTCCCAAACAGGAAAGCTGTTATCACCTGTGTAAGCTGGAGTTTGTACATGCCCCAAAACGAACTGAGGGTTACTGGTGCTCTGCAGCCAAATTGCTCTTTTATTATAGAACGCTGAACCTACTGACTCTCAGCCTAATCAGTGCAGACAACAAACATTGCTACACTTGTAGTACCAGTAAATCTGCTGTTATCAGCTGAGAAATTAAGTTCTACAGCTCAGTATACTACATAAGAGCAGGGAATTATGCAGCCTTGTAGAAAACCATCTAAGATAAACACTCCAAAACAAGGCAGAAAAAGTTCCAGATATTGAGGGGGGGAGGAGAGGGGAGGAACCACACACACACACATATATATATACATATATATACATATATATATATATATGTCTCAACAGCTTGCTCAATGCCTTCTCTGGGTAAGGCAGAATTTTAACAAATTAGCTGCTTAGAATATTGCTCTAATTAACGTTTCTATTTTGCCAACATAAAATCAAAAACTTAGTTGCTTTTTTTTTTGGCACAAGGTGCTAATAGGTTCGGCATGGAGTGGGTGTGACACACTGACCCAGATTCTGAGCTTACGAGCAGCTGCACCACCAGGAACTGATCTCCAGGAAGAGATGGAGCAGAAGGCAGAGTAGGAAAGCAGCACTGAGCAGCAGCACTTCAACAAGAACACCCATCCTCAGCTGCAGCATAAGTAACTCTGCATGGTCATTTTCACACAGAGAAGGGAAAACAAGAAACAGACTCCAAGCACACACTTCATGTCCATTTTAAAATTGTGACTCAAAGGAGTGAAAGTTTAGAACCTAAATTTGAGCAGAGCTGGAAGGAAAAAAAGGTACTTTAAGGCAGTGTTTGACAACTTCAATCTGTTCTAGCTCAAGCTCAGTTCTCCCTTCTGAAAGCCGCAGTCCCAACCCTTAACTCACACCATAGCCAAAGCAGCACTGCTTGTTTTGCCAACACAAAACTGGGAACAAATGTGGCAAACTTCATTCACATAAACTGCTTATCCACAACAGCAAACCACAGAGGTCCACCAAAACCTTCCCCACTGCTCTGAACACACATCAGAAACTGTAAAGGAACATCAGAACTCATCAGGAAAGCACCTGAACACCCCAACTTCCAATGTCCTCTTCTCAGGCTGGATTTCAAATACAGTATTTTTGCCAAAAAGTTTAGGAAACAACAGAAAATCCTATGCGTTTCAAGAAATTCTTTTGAAACAGAAAGGAAGCTAAGCATAAAAAAAATAAATGAAGACTGCAAGCCATTTCTGCCCTGGTTGAAGCATACAAAGACTAAAGATCTTATTAAAAATAACAGAAAGTAACGCACAAGTAGCACAAGGGGACACAAATGCATTCTCCTGTGTCAGCAGCCATCCAGTAAGAATGTAATGGAGGAGCTCTTAAGGTATGAAACAAAACAGTTCACTGAATGAAAACAGAAATACTTTAATAATTAAGCCATGGTAGGAAGTGACTATACTCATAAGCTGTGACAAGGACATACTCAGTCCAAAAGAAAGCTAAAAATATTGCTAAGTAGTGACCTATTTATTGAAAAACATGGAAAAGGGAAAAAATAACCCTCATGCCACAATGACTTTATACAGATAATACCATCACAATGTTAATATTGCCAAGCCTCCATACAATGACAACACTATTGCCGATATTCTGCAATAGCCAGAGGTTTCAGTGTGCTGTCAGCTACAAACCAACCTTTGATTCCTACACAGATGACAAACAATCATTTCAAGCAGCGCCTTGCACAGCCACGAAGCATGCTGATGGCATCCAAATCCACAAAGCAAATCCCTTGCTGGCAGTGACATATTCTGCCATCATCCATCTTTGAAGTTAACAGATGCTGTATTGCAAGTAACACTGCATATGGCACAATGAACGGACAGTAACGAGCCCTGCAAATCCATTTCAACAGCACAAAATATCGTAAACTGTGTCAGAAGGAATGAGAAATCTCCAGTATGTAGTTCTCTATGTTGCCTGGAAGAAATTAAAAGGTAATAAAAGTTTTTAATTTGTCTAACTGCTAAGAGATTTTCATGATGTGTTATGTGATGTCTAGGTAAGCCTGCAGCAAGTCAGTGCTGTTATTTCTAAGCATGAACTTTCCTGTTCATCAAAATGAGATGTAAATTCTGAACATTAACTATACTTATTGAATGACAACAGACTGTTTACTGTATTAGAGCTGAGCACTCCAAAAGAAAACAAAAATACATCACTTGATAAGCATACAAAGAAATACACAGCCAACGCGCTCACACAGTGGGGCTGGACAAACTGGTTTTCCCAACCCATATAAAATTTCTTGATTCCTGTTACATAAAACCAACTCCAAGTTACCCACATGTTTGAGAATTTACAAAGCCCACTGTCTGCAAGTCTGTAAAGCAAATCCTTCTGCTTTATCTTTTAAATGGCAAGGCCAATTGTACCACTGGAAGTAGTTTTCAGTATGTTTTGCTCTAACAGTAGCCAAGTTCCAAATACCAAAGAGTAGTTTGGGGTAATTGTCTGCCTGAGACCAACAATCAGCACTGTCTACTGCAAATAAGTGCGATTCTCCCTGAAAGAGCCTTTTGTTATCAACTTCTCACCAAAAGCCAGTGAAACTTCTTACATACGTGAAGCTTTTAAATATAAATATATGCTACTTAATATACTTAATACTTAAACATATGTCAAACTTGGAACAGCAGATCTGCACAAAGACTCTTTTCCTTCACCCGCATGTTCTAATCTCCTGCTGCAACTTCTGGCATACAGGACCATGCCCATGCCCATGCTGCTCTCACTAGGTTGGTTAGGCGAACTATCTCCTTTCAGGGAACTAAAAAGGAGAATTAACACCACATTACTGACAAGACTATGACTATGACAAGACATTCCTGGCAATGGAAGTTTCAATGTATCATCTACAGTTGCTCTGCAGCAAAGAACCAAGCGTACCACCTACATACACTGCGCACAGGAGCAACTCCCACCACTTCTAAGATGGAATTAACAGATTCCTTTGGGCTCAGTAAGAGCCCTGTCTCCATCTTCTCTATTTATTACAGGGGAAGTGGAGAACTAGGATCTTACTGTCACAGAACCGATTACCCACACGTACTCCAGCAGTCATTTCATGTAATTGCCGAAAGATAACTGTAAGTTTTAAGCTGTAATTCTACAAGCCCTACTGATTGCAGTGCTATTAACAGAACAGTAGAAATACAAGGAAATAAGCATAAACCTCAAAAACAGAGATGTCCCTAAGAAAGAAGTGATTTAATGTGTGTGAAGAGAGAAAAAAAGAACACATTGTTCGGTTTCCAAGGGACAGAGTTCCTGAAAAATCACTTCTTCTGGTTAAAGGAAAGTAACTATGGAAAGGTCTAACTTGCTGTAACACAATGGGTTATTTATGTTGCACAGTCAAAAACACTACCTGATCACACACCAAAACTCACTATTTTTGGCCTCAGGAACACACTTGGTGTCCCTGAACAGCACCCATTCCCTACCGCAGCTTTCTTAAAAAGTATAAAAGTTAGAGAGCATACATAAAACTAGACCTGAGCGGGGCTTTAACCCTGCAAAACAAATTAGATTAAAGGAGTTTTGCTACAACATATCCAGCTCCAACACAGCCGCCCGTCCCATCTTACAGAACCAAAGGCAGTGCAGAAGGAAAGCCTCAGTGCCACCTTCCGATAATTTCCTGATCGGCTTCACCTTTCACTTCGTACATCACAAAAGAACAGAACCTTACCCACGTTCCACCTATTTCTTAAAGAGAAAATTAAACATACGGCAGCCATGCAGCCAAGGGCCGAGGGAGGTCAGCAGTGTGACAGCAGCAGAGCGGCCCATCGCGCTGCTTCGTGCCGCTGCGCGAGAGGGAGGAGGAACCGAGCGCAGCGATGCCGGCCGCGCATGAACACGGGCGTATTGATACCGAGAGGGGAGGAAAGCCTGCTTTCGGCCCTAGAATTTGACAGTCTCTAGAAGTTAAATGAATTACTGAAAAGATAAAAATAAAACACGCGGCGTCGCGCCGCAGCTCTCCGCTGCCCGCCGGGCCCCGCACGCACCGCCCCGCCATCGCAGCGCGCGGCCATCGGCAGCGCCGGGCCGGGCTGCGGCCTGAGCCCCGCGGGGACAAAGCAGCGGGCCGGGAGGCGTGGGCCAGGCCCATGGCCGCATCCCGCGGGGCCGGGCCGAGAGGAGGAGGAGGAGGAGGAGGACGACGACGACGAGGAGGCGCGGCATGCCGCCGTCCGGAAGCGAAAGGCAGAGCTGGGCCCGCGACGAGCAGGGGAGGGGCCGCGCGCGGGGAAGGGACCGGGAACGGAGGGAAGGGCCGAGGGCCGGAGCGCGGCGCCCCGAGGGGCAGCGCTGAGGCGCGGGGGGTTCCGAGCGCCGCGGGCCCGGGGGCGGAGCTGAAGGCGGCGGCCGCAGAGGAAGGCCCCGCGCGGCGGGCGGCGGTACCTGAGCCGCGGGCGGTCCCCTCGGAGGCGGCGGCCCCCAGCTGCCGTCAGCGCAGCGCCCGAGCGGCCCGGCGACGGGCAGAGCGGAAGGGGGGCGGCAAAAGAGCGCTTTGCTCTGGGCCAGCACCTGCCGCCCGCCTCCTCGCCACGCGCATTGGATGAAGCCGGCGCCACCTTCGCTCCGATTGGGCGAGGCGCCGGTGAACGACGGCGCCTACGGCCCGTGGAGTTGCCGGGCAGCGAATAACAAGGGGAGCACGAGCAGCGATTGGAGGAGAGCTCCGACGGACGGCCCGCCCGCCAGCAGGCTGATCAGCCCGTGGCTTCCCCGTCGCTCAGCGGCTTCCCGCCAATAGGAAGCGACAACGGGAAGACAGTGTCCCACCCTCAGCTGCTATTGGGCGAAAGAGGACTACGGCGGCCGTCAATAGGCGGAGTGGGCTGCCGGTCGGTACGTCGCTGGCCTGCGCTCCGGCGGGGGCGAGTGGCGGCGAGTACGTGAGGAGCCGCACAGCAGCGCGCAGGGAGGGGGGGGCGCTGCGGTCGCCCTGCGCCAATGGAGGACGGGGAGGGGCCGCCTCCCCCTCGGCGTGCCGCGCTGCCTCAGGCCCGAACCGGGCGGTGAGGGGTCTTCTGACCCGAGCGCGGTACCCTCGGCGTGGTCGCACCGTGAGGTACAGCTCAGGCCCTTGTGCAATCTCCTTTCAAGCTCCTCCCTAGAGCGCCCATCAGAGGAAATCGTCAGTAGCAATACTGCTGTAGCAGAGGTGTTAAAAATAGCATACACTGCATTTCAAGGTAGCCACGTTGCCATAAAAGGCTCTGGGCACTCACCTGCGGACACCTGTGGGGCCACAAAAGAGGTGCTTGGAAACAGCCGCGGCTATGCTCTATGCCTCTCACCTAAGCTGAAAGACAGAACCTCAGAGGACTCAAACGTGGGTAAGGGAAAGGATGCAGTGAGATCAGCCCCTCAGCAGGAGCCCATAACAGGTTTTAGGTTCCCCATCCCACATAAGCTAGACTTTCAGAAAGCACTTAACTATAACTACTTGCACTGTACTTCTTCCCAGTTAGTTTATGCCTTACACCTTTGTGCTTTACCAACACTTCCACTTCCCCAATCATCCACCAGTGCCACACAGTGAAGTTTAGCCACTGGAAGGAGTCCATCCAAACTGCACTTTTGCCCATCTCCTGCAGAGATGCTACAGGTTGGGACGAGTGCCTACAGCCTACCCAGCACTGATCGCCTCCCGCAGTCACCATCACACAGAACTCTTCCCCAAACAGCAGCAGTTACAGCATCACAGACCTACCAGGATGAAGTATCAGGCATTTTTTAATTCATGCTCAATTAAGCCATGCAGACCACTTACTGGGAATGGATGGGAATTCACAGAATAAAAGATCCTTACGCTGTTCTTTCAACTGCTTTTCTTGCATCCTGGTTCTTTATCTGTAAAACAGTTACTTTACCAAATCACATACTAGATTTTTACTCTAGGATTTCAGAGCCCCAATATACACAAGTTTGTACAGGAAATGAAGCAACATTCTACTAACACTTAAAAAAAAAAACAACCAAAGCAAATCTCATCTACAGCCACACACTATCTCATCTTCTAGCACAGTAATTTTGCTAGTGGAGCTCTGTTTTGAGATCTGCAAGCCTAAGTAACAAAGCATTTAATTTGCAGTAAAGTTATCCTAATTGACGTTAAATAAACAAAAACTCAGAACAGTACAATTGAAACTTATATGGAAGAACAATTGTTTTTTAGAATCCAAATTATAAGAAACAATATTCTAAGGGAGTCAATTGCAACAGATTCCACTTAAACATACATATTTCCTGAATTTTTCCCACCCACCAATTCTTCTCAACACAACATAGACTAAAAAATAGAATAAAGTTCTCAGTAGAAACTAAAGACCTGAAACTGAAATGCTTAAGTGTTAACACTAACTTTAAAATAAACAAAGATGGCAACTAAACAACGTTTGAAAACCAAAACTGTGAAATTATGCAACATCTTAAATGCCTATATTTTTTTCCATTTATTTTAGCTGCATTTGAGTAGGAAAAAAAACTGTCTTTTATATTTGGATTTTAGTAGCGTGGAAATCTAACGAAAGTTGACCTTCTGAAAGTTGAAGAGATGCTGACAATCTTGTTTTTTGTATTTTAATTGAATATACTTTTCTCTAGTGCCAACTATGATATTCTTGTACTCAAAGTATTTCAAAGTAGTTTTTCCATTACTTCTCTCTAGTGAAAAATAATAGGTATAAAAATTTAAAAATTAAAATAGGCTTAGAGTAATGAAAGATGTGTACAAAAGTTCTGAACAAGCAATTATGTCTGGAAACCTGCTTCAGAGAGTTAAAGGAGAACAGCCAACACCTTCCTCTGAAAAGATATTTATTTTGAGAACTTCAACTTGCACATTGTACAAAAATTAACAAATTCAGCAAAAAGCCTATAAAACATTTTCCCCTAACATATTAACATTATAATTTTAAAAGAGTAAGAGTTAAGAAAAACAAAACCAGGCACGTTTGTTCCAGTCTGTCTGCAGTAAAATGTGATTAAAAACATCTCTGTCTCGTTGAGGTATTAAACTGCAAACTTTGGTTATGTTAGAAAAAGACAATCCATTCACAAAAGCAAGCCCCTTGGTGTCATATACAATAACCAAAATGTTTCCAAAAGTCAAAATTAAGTATTCTCCATTTCTAGGTAGAAATGCAGTGGGAAAAAAAATAATATATATATATAAATTCACGTTACCATCACACACCTAGCATTAGGAGGAAACCTGAAAGTTTGCAAATCCATGCTAATCATATACAGCTACAGTGTTATATTTTACTCAAAGAACAAAATCCGGTTGGCAGATTTAAACAATTCAGTGCTTATGAAAAAAAAAATAATATATATATGGTGATTCTGGGCCCAGTATTTCCAAAAAAAAGAAAAAAGGCACTTAAGAATGGCTTTAGTATATTCCATAATGGCATTTCAGGACAGAAGACAGCACCTGGCTGAACAAATGGTTCCCTAATAAGAAGTCCAACTGAGGTAGTACTTCATATTGCTCTAACTACTTGACTATAAGCCAGCAGTTTGTTTGTTTGGACATAGAAAATTAGCAGAAAATGGCTTAGATAAGTTTGTCAAATGTATAAAAACAGTTATTGAAAAAAATAACAAATACCCACTTGTGTTAGAAAAACAGAAGTCATAAGCCAGGAACTATCTTACATACCAAAACGCTGCCAAAGTGATGCGCAAATCTACCTTTATGCCCAAATGCTGAAGATTGTTCTAGCAACGAAGCCATTTTTTTGAATAAAACAAAAACAAAGAGGTGGGGAGAAGGGACAGAAAAAAGCAGAAAAACTTTCACAATTGTCAGCAGCCTTACCAGAAGCACTTTGTAAATCCCCATTAAAAAAAAATATATAATGAACTGTGCTGATGGATGGCAGTTTTGAGGGGCAAATAACTGTACAAAGTTCAGCATTTAGAACAAAAACAAAAACCATGGACATATGGAAAGTTTAGTTGGTGGGTTTTTTGTTGGTTTTTTTTTTTTTTTTTTTTTTAAGGGTCTGGGAGAACACCAACTACTTTTTTTTTTCTTTTCTTAAATTAAGCCCATCTAAAATCCATTAATAAGTTTGAGCAAAAGAAAATTAGAAGTGCTTTATGGAATCACCGTCCGTTGCCATATCCAGGAAAGAGCTGAGTTAGAATGGTCTGCAGTGTTTCATTCACTTGCATGGTATAGTTTTTGCCAAGGTCATAGCGGCAGGCTGGACAACTGTACACATCAGCTTTGAAGGACCTATCCAAACAATCCTGGTGAAGGATGAATAAAGAAGCTGGTTAAGAATAGAAAGACTTGCAGTTCAGCTTATTCTACACAGCCCCTACTGAAAAGTGAGATTCCTTCTACATCCTAGTCCACCTAGGTACTTGACAAGATCTGAGAAAACCCCAAAGTGCTGCCAGGCTGGTCATAGGAAAGAAAGCTTCCTTCACTGCAGCCAATACTCCATGTTCTTCAGAGCACATTCATCATGGACACAGTGTTTAAGCACATGGTAGAAATGTTAAAGACTAAGTAGCTTCCATAAGGACAGTTCACATCAAAGGAGAAACAGACTAACAACCCATATGCTTTGTAACACTGTTGAGTCCAGTGTCATTTAGCAGTATTACTCAATCCACAGATAAGCTCTCATTACCCTCTTTTAAAATAATCTGATAGTAGCAATACAGTAGTGCAGTTTTCCTTAAAGCATCAACTTTTCTTACCAAAGAACTATTATCAAATCAGAGTTTTCACATTTATACCTGAATCCTGCTAAAAGATTGAGTCAAAACAAAATCTCACCACTAAACGAGTCAGTTCAAGGTTTGTTGGCTCAACTACTTAACAGAAGAGTTGCACCAAGTGCTCACCTTGCACACATTATGTTGGCATACGGTTGTGACTGGCCGAAACACAACCTCTTGACAGCAAATACACAAGAAAGCCTCTTCAACTTTATTTAGAAATTTCTGTAAAGAAAACATTTGAACTATTTATTATATTATGAAAGATACAAGCAGAAAAAAAAAAAAAAAAAGAAATTCAGAGAATTACTTTAAACATAAATATTTTTCCTACAAAGCTCAACACACACAAAAAAAAAAAATTAAATTAGCAAGTTCCTATTCTTCCTACTGGTCTTAAATACCAGTAAGAACCAGTGCTTTAAAGTTATACCGTGGATGCCCACAATGAAAAAAAAATACTAACAATCTGAAGCTACTTCCTTGCACAGCCATGAAGTTTATATCTAGGGATAAGTTAATTGTCACTTTATTTCAGGAATGACAGGCATGATTTACCGGTCCATCTTTGAGAGCATCTAGTACTTCATTCCACAGTTTTTCATTGGCTTCATCATTTCTTATAAGAGATTTTTGCTGAGATGTCAATTTGTACGGCTCAACTTTTGTTTTCTTCGGAGTCCCTGAAGGAGAGTTAAGGACTTTTTCTTCCGCTCCTGAAAGAAAACAGAATGACTTAAAACAAACAAACAAAAAAAAAAAACACAAATCAAACAAAAAAGATTAAGTAAAATGCACAAAGATCTACAAGGCTTTCTATATCCACTTGCCTACTTCACAAACCTGCTGATTTTCTTTTCCTCTTTCCTTTCCCTGGAGTATCAAACTCATCATCTCCATTATTTTCTTTATCTTTGTTTGCAACGGCTTCCAAATATCCCTCAGGATACTGTAGGAAAACAAAACCAAAAAGCATCCAGTGTAAATATGCCAATTCATAGACTTACAGACTATAACAGGTTGGAAAGATAATTCCTGGAGCAACTCTCATAATAATGGATCACTGTTCTTCCAAAGCGCTAGGCTGCAAAAAATTCAGTAAAAGAAAATTAGTTTTGTCCATTTAACCTCCTGATGTAAGAAGGAAAACAACCCACAGGACTGAAAGCACTTCTATCCCCCCCTTCTATCCCCTTAGATTCTTACACAATGCAAAGCAGATTATCCTCAATGTATAATAGAAAAAGTCCTGCTATCCATTCTCCAAGGGAACCACAGTGATGTTCCAGACGCATACCTGCATTGTTAGGCCAAGCTTCTTCATCCTGTCCTTTCCTTCTTTGGTCCAAGGAGCAGGTTCTTCATCATCTCTCCTAAGCAAGTAACGCCACACTAGAAATCCAGATTTTCCTGTCTCAGGCCAGTATTTCACTACCTTAAAAAAAAAAAAAAAAGCCACATTCAAGTCCACCAGACATTATAAAAACTTACTTGCCGTAAGCAAATTATTTTTTCTTAAATCAGTAGATTCAAATCTTACTTACCTTATATATGCCATCATATCTGTTCCCTTCTACAGGAGCATATTTGCTGTGTTTACCTCCTTTTACATTCCTCACCACTCGGACTGGCTTTCCAGCTCTCCAGTCCTTAGCTTCAGCTCCATTTTTGTCATTGATGGGAGCACTGCAGTTTAGAGCCAAAGCTCTGTAAGAGAAAGTCCATTCAAGTTAGCGTATTCACCAGACAGAACTCTTGAGAATCAAAAAGGGAGGATAAAGCAAAGCAGAACTTGCATGTAATCCAACTACTACATAGTTGAACTACAGAGTTCAACTACACTGTTTTACTCAACACTGCATGGATACAGTCAGGTACCATTACTACAAAGAGTAGCAGTGTACTGTCACTGTGCTGAACCTTAGCTTCGCTTACCAAAAAAACGTTTATGCTATTTTACTGCTCTGTTCTTATGTTTGAGCCAATATTGAATGTGAGACGACTATCATTTTTAATTGTATTTCATTTATAGAATCATAGAATCACAAGGTTGGAAATGACCTGCAAGATCATCTAGTCCATCTAGTATACTCTAAAAAACATTTCCACTGCACAGCTGATCCGCAGCCTACAAAAGTAGTTTTTGCACTTAACCAGTTTCTTTTGATTACAAATAGTATAAACACTCAAGTTGACAGATTGCCAGCTTCTTGGTTAGAAATTGAATGCAAATGTTGCCAACCTGTTCATATTGGTGAGTTTTTGATCACAAGACTGTTCTGCTGTACGTTTGTTTCCAGAAAGATCACGACCTCCACTCCCTGTATATGTGAAGGAATTCCCGTGATCCTGAAACGTATATGGATTGTTTCAACATATTCACAAGAGTAATTCAATACAAGAAGGAAAAGTCTTTTCATCAAGTAGCTATAACATTGCATTCTGGGGAAAAAAAAAAAGGAAAGATAATTCCTCCATTTAAGTGTGGCTTCCTCTTCAGGGTTGCAACTGCTGTCTCATCACACATCTGAAAAGTGCAAAGAGGCCTCTGCCAAGGGAGTAGCACACCACTTGCACAGAACCTGTGAGGAAGCACATGGCGTGTTCTAGATAAAAGATCATTTAACTTGTGTATTGGTACTTACACTGCTACATGAATTAAGACTCAAAACAGCAAATTAGATACATTCTGCATTCATAGGTGTTTTGTGAGAGGTTCAGAGGGGCATTCAGGGGGAAGGAATCAGAGATAGTACTACACTGATGAACTGTAAGAATGAGCATTACAGGCTGGGAAAGCCTGATAAGGATTACATTTGGCTAGCTGAACAAACAGATATATTCAGCAGTAGCACTTCTGTCCCTGGTTTTGTTCTCGATCTTGCACATACAGAGAGTCTGATGAGACCCAGAAAATGCAGCTAAGAACTCTTGGATTTAAAGCTGACATATGGATGTTAAACTTAATTCTGGTGATCTTCCTGGATTGGAGCCTTCCTTCACCTATTTTATTCTAAATAACTATCATGAGGATGGAGAAACATCTGAGAGAGAACATAGGATGTAATTATGGCCATAGCTGCAAATTAGTTTTATTCTCAGACATAAATAATAAAGATTCACTTACTATATCATCTTCATAGCCTCCTGCCAGAACTAAGGAATAAGCACCATCATTACTTCTGCCGTGTATCCCAGCCACATGCGGCCTGTGAACACCAGATTCGCTCACCTGGAGGAGGAAAATTAAATTAAGTTTAAAAAAAAAAAAACCACCACAATCCGTAAGTTTGGTAGGCAACTGCTATCAACAAACCACAAGCAACACGATCAATTTATTTGTCTTGGAACTAAAACAGCAGTATTACTTCACGTGTGCTTTGCATATATTCCAGAGAAAAACTGTCTTCACCACCACCCTCCCAAAATGTCCAGATAAAAGAAAGAAAAATGTTTTCAAAAATGAAGCAATGGAGTATTCCAGTGAATTAAGCACAAGGATACTTTTCGTTATGTGAATTTAGATACATTGATTTTTCCAACCTAGATTGCTTATTGAAAACTCCAGGAATTTTACAGTAATGTAGGTACTACAACATAAGGGTAATAGTCTTTGAAGATTTGCAATGGCAGCATTCACATCCTACTTGAAAAACAAAGTCTGAGTAGCTCATGGCTTTCTTTCTACCCTTTATAAGAGGACAATAAAGCTGGTTAATATATCCAGATTCTTAAGAGAAACTTAACATCAGAAGAAGGGGGAGATACTACGCACCTCCAGGTCAAAAATCTGGAGGTACATACATTTGGTTTGGATTTTAAGTCATCAAAAAAGACCCACACCTGAAAGGCCTGGACAATGCAACATTAGCTGTAGAACACTCAATATAAAGCCAGAATTCTTTCCTTTCTGCATTTACATATCTGGGGACATACACTTTTAATATAAACCATTTCAGGTTTTACATGTAAGAGCTAGATCATTCCTATTTTTCTTTACAGTGGAAGAGACCAGGATTTTGCTTCATACCTGAACTCTGAACTTCCACATGGTGCCAACTGGAATACCAGGAATTGGTCCATAGTGGTTAGAGGGTACAATAGTACATTCCTTCGTGCGACCAACACATGCCATACCCTATTTCAAAAGGGAGACCAGTTAGCCAAGAATTACAAGGAAACACACACCAACACTATTCTTCAAAAATAAAACCTGACCTTGCCCCAGTCTCTCCGTGATGATGAATTAGCAGATGCCATCTTTTGTTTCTTTTTACTTTCTTTTAATTTCTCTCCTGCCAGAACCACCTCACTTGCATCATTTCGACATTCAGGGCAATACCTGAAGTCATAAACCAAAGAAAATTAACAAGCAACAAAGGTTAAATTTCAAGAGAAGATTCTCAAAAATAGAGTTATGTTACAATTTCCCTATATGAGCACAGACAGGACACTGAAGCAACTCCCCATACACAAATTGGATCCGTGTTAGCTAGTGGCCTTGCACCATCTTCTAAACCACTGCACGTGTCAAGAAATCATCTGTGTCATAAAAATTATTGCATCCCATTTCAGCATATTATACATGAAATAAAACCATATATTTTCTCATATGAGGGCTGCTCCAAAGTAACGCCTCCTATCTTATTTTACGTTGGCCCACAACTTAAGAGGTGGATGTCAGTGGGATGGCAGTAGAGGTGGAACCTTCCCACCAATATCTCATTACATTTTGTTGTCATGCGACAGATGGCAGCAGAGGAGCAGCGTGACAAAATGGTGTCTGACATGGAAATGCAAATGAAGAAAAGGGTTTGAACTGAATTTCTCTGTGCAGAAAGAACTACATCCATTGATAATCATCAGTGCTTGCTGAACAAACAAAATGCACAGCTAATGGTAGTGACTGTGTTGTGAAACAGTTTTTTGGGCCTAGAACTTGCTCTATCAAGTAGTGTTGCTGTGCTTTTAGTAGTTGTTATAGTTTCCATGGAAATAAATAAAAAGCATTACTTTGTGAGTTATTTCCATTTTTCTTTGAGGAAACGTATGTCGTATGTCCCAAAGCTAGAGAAAAAAAGTTTGAAAGCCACTGGCTTACTGTCCTGAAAAAAAAAAGAAAGAAAGAAAGAAAGAAAAAAAGAAAAAAAAAAAGAAAGAAAGAAAGAAAGAAAGAAAAAAAAAAAAACTCTCACTGAACTGATTTTCAAGAGAAGCTATGAAGTTTCCTAACAAAAACAAAATAAAAAGCCTAACACATTCAGAACAACCATAACGGTAGTACACCTCTTCACCTCACACAGTCACTTGCCAACTAACAGGAAGCCCTAGTCCTTACTCACTACTCAGTGTAGATGGCAACAATGATACCACACAGCATTATTAGAACTTACCAGTCCTCGTCATCTGGTATACTACTAAGGGGAGGGTTGAGGCAGTAGATATGGAAAGCCATATCACACTCATCACACATGAGCTGTTTATCAGGATCTTGTTTACCCCCACAGATATGGCAAGCACAGATCCTGCAGGTTTTGTTTGGGTTGTCCTTACAAGCTTTACACACGGGTCCACTTTGTCCTGTTAGTAAAAAGAAACAACACTCCAGGAAGTGCAAAGATGCATTACGAATGGTCAGAGGAATCACAGCTGCAAGTGTTTTAGAATTCTGATGCTCAAATGTTATTAAGAGAACATCACAAGATAAGACAACAGTACATGCAAGAAAAATGCAATACTCACGTTTCAATGGTCTGGCACTAATTGGACAAACACTGCCTGGTTCTTCAATTTTATAAATGTCATCCACAAATGTAATTCTGCAGTCATTCAAAGAATCACCAGCCTCCCTACAAGAAGTTGATAAAAGTCAAAGATCAGAAAGTATTATACAGCATGAATTCACAGCTGCACATGCATTGGTAATATAGACTGATCTGATATTAATCCTGTATCTCAAGAAACCCATTGTAGCATCATGTGATCTACAACAATAGTATGACAGCATCACCATGGAACACCTTCAATGTAATTGAAGTGTGCTCCTTCACTGAAAATTTAGGTACTCGTAGAGTTCAAATTCATTGAAATATTTTTTGTTGATAACAACCAGACTAAATCCCCTACTCCTTTATAAAGTCAAAATAACTATGGTGAGAGGAAGAAAGAATGTTCTGGCAACCCTCTGAAAATCTAATTTTATCATATGAAGCATAAGTTGAGAGTCCTTCGTACGTATACATTAGAAAAGAATTGAAGATTATCATCCTTATGAAGTGAAGGCTTATGCTAAATTTTCATATGTAACCCAAAACATTACCCTGAAGTTTTTGTTAAACCACTACAGTTAATGCAGTAAACAGAAAATTCTTCACCTCCTAGCAAATATGGGGCTTTTTCTCCCAGCAGTATGTGAATCCACAGATCAGTATGTCCTGTGATTCCCTGCAGCGCTCAATTCCTTCAGTTTAACTCAATCACTCCAAAAGACAGTTCAGTTTTCCATCTCTCCTCAGCACTTCTGTTGCTGTTTTTTATGTTTGTTTGTTTTCAGGATTTGTTTGCATTGTTTTTTTTGCAGTCACTCAGACCTCATGAAAGCTTAAGTAGAGCTAGAGAGTTCCTTTTATCCCGCATTTCTACTCTGAATTACTTACCCAAGTAGTATCTTCGCATTTATCTCCTTGATCAATTTTGTTTCCCTTTTCTGCAGGATCTCAGCATCATACCAAAAACCTCTCTCTGTTGGTTCATCAGGATTGTAGTTGACCATCACCACCTGTCCTACTTCTAGCTGATGCCATTTCAAGATAGTCCGTGCACGAGACCGTACATCATTCGAACTCAGTTCCACAACTCCATTCTCTGGATAACTTGAGGCAGAAGGTAGACATGGAAGGTCAGGGAAGAAAAGTGAGATTCGTCATCACAATTTATTCACAGTATATTTTATCTAGACGAGTTGATTTAAGAACTGATGCCACATAGCATACTGGGAAGAATAAAATCTCCCACAGTCACAGCTAAAAACAGCAGCCTAACTTAATTAGTACTGCAACCCATTCAAAACTTGGGTAATAGCATTTCATATCTCTAAAAACATTATTCTAGTCCATGCGTTTTGTCTTATGGTTAATGTGGTTAAGTCATACAATTACTGTGTTAGCCCAGTTCTGTTTTACCTCAGGGATCTCTACAATCAAATTCCCTGCTGACATCACAATCCAAATGAATTTATTAGCCAAGAAATCAACAAAACTCACTCTTCATATTTCACATGATATATTACATCTTCTTCAGGAACGGTTGTCTGCTGATCAGCAACTGCACAACTCTCATTTGCAGCTTTTCTTCTGGTTACATTTACAACCTGGGCTTCAAACCATGCTCCCATATTCATATCACGAGCATCAACCAAGTCATTGATCTACATAAAGCAAAGTATACAGCTCACCAAAATGCATTTTCAAAGTACGCATTTATTTTCCAGTCTACTTGAAAATTTAACCATCTCTAGCTAACTACTGTCAAGATATTTAAACAATCAACTTTAACATCTCCTTTACTTTCCTGTTTCCAATATGCATCCCCCTATGGTCTCCTTCGATTGATCCTGTCAGGCTAAAAATCCATTATATACCAGCATGTGTATAAATAGCCTTGTTATCTAGTATAAACGATTAATTAACCTACAACAGGCTTTCAGAATCATCTTGTTTATAATCTGACAAAGAGAACACTAGATCTGTAATAAAAAACATTGAAACAAGTAAAATGATTCTGAACAGCCGGTTGAGAATTTCTTTTTGTTCATTCAGGAAGCTTCAGCCTTGACAAATGCAAGCACTTGTAATGTGTTTCTTTTTCTTTTTTTTTTTTTAAACACATATTGTAATTCTAACTAAAAGGGGAAAATGAAAAATAATTATTTTAACCCAGAACATGTCACATTTAATTAGTTTGTGGGTTGATTGGTATTTTTTTTTTGTTTGCTGTTGCAAAGTTCAAAAAATAAAAAAAAAAAACACATTTGTATCATGAAAGATTTTCCACAGTTCTCAACTACAGAAAAACCCTTTCCCTCCCAAAGCACAGCTCTAAGCAACGCCCGTTCTTCACTGACTCACCTTATAGAGGCCAAATCCTGGGTCAGCCCAGTCAGACTGTGCTGCCGTGCTGGGCTGTCCCTCCAGGTCCATGACACTTTCTCCATTGTGAGAGCTTTTGTCGGATTCACTTTGACCTGAGCCACAGCCAGAGTCTGTGTCAGAGAGCTCTGAATCCTTCTCCTTACTCACAGCAGGAAGCACTGCTGGGCTTTGTCTAACCAAGAGCTGAACAATATCATTCAGTCCAACGCTGTAATCAAAAAGGGAGTGACCATCCTCCATCTGCAGGGAAAGCATCAAAATCATCTGGTTATTGAATTCAATGGAGATTTTCCAATTCAGAACCATCCATCGTGCTGCAACTGACTCCATGCCTCAAAACCAACCACGTTTCTCAAAGACCACTAACAACTGGGGACCTGGCAGTTCTTCAGCTGCACAATAGTTACACATTGTTATTCTATTTTAAAACATTCCTTTTTCTTCAACTGGCTCCACAGACCAAAAAACAAAGTTTCCACACTGCAGTGGACTTTTACCCACATTAAACTGCTGTGTTCTATGAGATCTGGAAAAGTTACTGCTACACTCCTTAGAAATGCAACTCTGAGAAGAACTTAAAAGAATCACAGATTCACTACTTCCTATCAAAACTTAAAGATTATTCCACATTACTTAGGAACTCTGATAAGTTCCTTAATTCAGACACATCCCACCATACAAATATTAATGCAAAACAGTTCTTACATTCTGATTGTGCATGCTCCAGATTATTGCTAGAAACTCGCTCTGAAATGCAGCGCTAAGACCAAGGAACATTCTTTCTTCCAGACAAGCTGCTTTTCCATTGGAAGCACAGTCAAGGATTCACTTCAACTTGGAACTGTCCATCCCCTTTTTAGCATAGCAGGGCATGTCTTAGTTTCACACCCTCCACAATTTTAAGGATTGTCTTGCAAGTGTGGCATTGTATGGAGGTAAATAAGTATCTCGCTCCTAGAAAAAGAGGGGCTCAGAGGGCAGGTAGGGCTCTCATTGCCATCAGAACACTGCACTTGAAGCCATGGCACAGTCAGAAGCTGAGACAAAAGCTTCGCCGCATAGTTAAGGTCTGACTAAGAAATTATACAGGAAATGATCAACCCCTCCAGCCTAAACCACCAGAAGCTGCAATTCAAGAGCTTTGTTCTCTATCAGCGGGAAACAGAGCAAAGCCACAAAAATTCACACTTTACAGGAATCACTATGATAACTCAATTCTGATTTATGGCACTGAATGGTTACAGGACAATCCCTGGAAATCGGAGCGTGCAGGAAGTGCTCTGGGCTGGATCTGGTTGAGAGACAAAGACTCATTGCGATGCACAAGAACGAACCAAAAGCGCGCCGCTTCTTATAAAGAGCAACAGCACGGCAACAGCGCGGCGCTGCGCTCACAGCCATGTGGCAGCAGGTGCAGGGCACAGAACAGCAGAGAACCACACCGTGGTGCCAAACCACATTGTTCAAAGTGTTCCTGGTGGAGGTGGCAGCAGCTGTGTGCACACCTCCAGCAATGGGTGCACTTTTTTAATCTAACGAGCGTTCTCCTGACTTCTTCAAACGTAACCATTTCTAACGATTCCAAAGCCAGACAAAGCGCTGATGGGCGCAGCGGAGAAGGAAGATTGAAGAAGGTTGGATCACACAGTGTAAACGGTTCTGTCTGCAACGAACTGACAAAAAGCCCAAACGCGCGCGCAGAACGGAGAGTGCAGGAGTGCACAGCAAACTTACTGAAGCGGCAGACCGCGCCTGCTCCAAGCGCTTGGTGTCGCTTCGGCGTGCATCGCCGAGCAGCACCGCGGCTGTCAGTGTCCGGCAGCCCCACGGGAGCCCCCCTGGCGCGGCCAGGGGCTCCCGCCCCCGCGACCGCCGACACCCTGGGTTCCTCACGGAGGAAATTGGACGGAGGGAACGAGAGAGGTGGGGGGGCACACAAAGCCCGGGGCCGCCCCGGCTCCATCCCCTCGGACGTCGCGCCCGCCCGTACCGCGGGGGCGGAGATCGCTGCGCGGGGCCGCGCGGTGTCACCGTGTCACCGCCCCCAGGGCGGCACAGCCCCACCGCCCCCCGCGCCGAGAGGGCCCCGCGACCGCCCCGCGCCCCGTACCTGTTTGCCGCGGTAGAAGAGGCGCTGCCGGTGGGGCTCGATGCCGAATACCTCATGGATCCGCAGGCGAAGCCCCTCCACCTTGGTGAGCTTGGAGAGCGAGTCCACGCGGTGGGTCTCCCTCCCGTCCATGGTGCGCACCTGGATCCACATGGCGCCGGCCCTCACGGGAGCAGCGCGGCGTCACAGGACGGCACCGGAGCCCGGCACGGCAGCCCCCGACCGCTGAGGCTGCGCTCAGCCCGCCGCCAGCCCGGCCCCGGCCGGCCCGCCCTCCCGCTGCCCCCGCGCCATTGGCCGCCGGCCCGGCCGGTTCCGGCTTGGATTGGCTGCCGGTGCCTTAGGCCCGCCCCCTCCCCCGCCGCGCCTAACGGCCCAGCTCGCGCTCGGGCCTCACTACGCCTTGCGGGCGGGCGCCGCGCGCCAACTGTATCTCGCGCCACAATTGAAACACTCTCTCAGCTCTCGCGGAGGCCTCCCCCCAGACATCGCGAGACTATGCAAATACCAGCACGGGGCTGGGGCACGGGGGGGAGGGAGGAATAAGTCCTTAAAGCGGCCACCGCGGCCCTACTGCCAGGACGGCGGCGCTCCCCGCGGGCAGCAGCGGTGACGTTCTTCCCACGACCGCCCTCGGGGGGCGCCGCTGCCGTTCCTCCCCCGGAAAAAAAAAAAAATAACGGAGCGCTCAGCGGCCCCCACCGCCCCAACCCGTGGCTGCTGGCAGCCCTGAGAGCCGACAACGGTCGTCCGCCCTCCCCGCTGCCCCCGCTTCCCCCGCCTCCCTCGCCGCACAGCCCCGTGGCGAAGGCAGGGGCCGCAGCCAGAGCTACGCACGACACCCGGGAGCAGAGTTGCTCCCCAGCACCGTGCCCCGCGGTGACGGGCGCTGCGAGTTCCCGGCAGCTGTCACCAACGCGGAGCCACTGCTCGCAACGGGCATAGTGCGAGGGTGAATTTCCGCCGCCGCCGCCATCCCCCTCCCAGTGCGGCCGCAGCCCTATTGGCAGGCCTGGGCCAGCGGGACTCACCAGCGTAGCTCCGCGGTGCTGAAGGCCGCTACCGCGCTGAGTCCCGCGGCCGCCGCCCGCTCTCTCCCCGGGCTTTGGAGTTTGGCGCGGAAAAGCCCCGTGCGCGACGGGCGCCCGCCCATTGGTCGCCGCTGGCGGGAACGAGCGGGAGGGGTGGGGCCGCCATTGCCTCCCGGGAGCGCGGAGCCGCAGGGGGGTGCGGGCGGGAAAGCGGTACTGCCTGGGGCGAAGAGCCGGAGAGCGCGGAGTCGGGAGAGCCGCGCAGCAGACAGCCCCGCAGCATCCCAGGGCGCAGGCAGCATTGACTATCCCGTAATGTAAAACTGGGAGCACGACCGTCCCGCTGACAGGTCCACAAAGCCGAAGTCTCACCTCTTCATTCCCCTCTAGCCGCCATAACTCCAAGCCACGCCATCACCACCCAGTGCCCACCATGTAGCACACACTTCCGGGCAGCTTGAGGGACCATCGTGGTGGGGAGAGGCTTCCAGGGACCTGCAGTTCCAAGCCCCTCAGCTCTGAGCGGCAGAGCCCCCGGGGTGGGCAGCAGTGCTGCAGCGTGGAGCCCTTCAGAAATGTGGGTGCCGTGAGTGGGGCTGCTCTGGGGAATCATCCTCCAACAAGGAAGGAAGCAAAAAAGGATTAAGTTTGCTGAGTCTGGGTGTCAGGTGGAGCAAACCGTACGCTGGGGATTACCAAGAGGTTTCTGAGAAAATGAGGCAGCTTGGAAAGAAATAGAAAAGGACAAAAATTGGATAAGGCGGGGAAGAGGTGCTCGGCTGGGAGCGTGGTCGCTACAGGCGGGTGGCTCCAACAGAAGCAGCTTCAGGAGCTCCTCAATCTGCCTGGGCCTGGCAGAGCCGCTATCTGATCCTTCCAGACAAAGGGAGCATGAGGTGTTCTGGAGCTCAATGCAAAGCAGAACTTCCCTTGCTATGCCCTCCGCACCTGCAGACACAGAGCCAATCTCTCATGTGCATATTAAAAAACAAAATCTGTGGGATGGAGCACCCAACACCCCCGATTTGCAGACTGCTGTAGTGAGTCCCTCCCTTACTCCCCTGCTCTCATCCTTAGGATCTGCTGGGGATCCCACAGCTAAGCCGCAGATCACAGGTTGAAAGGCACTGGCCTAGATTCGGTTAGTACCAGAGGTTAGGCATGTATCAGTGCATAAAAGCCTTGGATGTGACCTACGACCTGCAGCAGTCAGGCTTCATTTCCTCCCAGATCTGAAGGCTTTGCCTTGCAAGAAAGTCATTTTCCCCCCTGGAGATGAACTGGAGTCTTAACCTTGACCCACTGCATCAGCAAACTCCACAATCTGAAGGGGTTATCAGATATTTCAGAGGTGGCAGGGAGCAGGAAGAAAGGTTGTGCGTTGGGAGATCAGTTTTCACCCTTATAAGTACATGTTGCACATCTAAAGTATCTCATGTTTGGGCCTTCTGGGTTTAAGTCTCAAGTCATATTGCTTAATAGCATACCTGGATCCATGTGTTGTCACTCACACCCCATTTTTAGAAGAGAGGAGAACACAGATCTCTCACAACTTCCAGGCAGTTTAACAACATACACTTAATACCCTCTTTCAGAATTTTTTCAGCATTCCTTACACCTCTATAAAAGTGGAAGAAGTTCAAAAAAGACACTTTAAGATCCAGACCTGACCCTTTCCTTCACTACTGTGTCACATGAACTTGATGCACAAGGAATATATATTTGAACAGTTAGCTATTCATGTTAATTTTCTGATGCTCAGATGGTATCTTTCTGATAGCACCTTGCTACTTTGCATTTGCCTTTACCACATTCCCCATTAGGGTCCCATGTCATGTCCACGTAAGGACTCTCTTACATGCATCCAGGCGGGCCACAGATGAATGTCCTTTTACCCTTGACAGCTGCCATCACAGTACAGGGAGCACTGTCTTACTTTAAGACACAGTTGTTCAAGGCTCAGGCCAGTTGCTGTATATGAGCAGTAGCACCTCTAGAGATTGAATCAGAGTTGGGAAACAAGAAGCCCCATTTCTAAAAACACTTCTACTCATTCAGTGAATCCTCATACTGCAAAAACTGTGCTGCATTCTACATGTTATTCAGTTGTCAACAAATCACTCAAAGTAAGGCTCAATTCTGCATCATTCTAGTAGTAGAACACTGATTTCATTAGAAGTTATGTATGCTTTCATTTTAAGGTCCTGTCCTTTATTAAAACAAGTACACTGCTAGAGTAACTCACAGAGAATCTGATGTGAGATAAAGCCCTGGAAGCTTCAGATTTCTATAGACTGTCAGGAAAAAAAAAAGAAGAAGAAAGAAAGAAAAAAAAAGAGCATGTTTTCTTGTGCTGAAGTTATCTAAGAAGCTGATGAGTTTTAGTTTCCTGCTGCAAGGAAACTAATCTTGACTCCTCTGCCAGCAGGGATATCCAGCCCAGTTTGTAAAAATTTAAAGCACTGTTGAATAGAGGCAGCTAGCAAGACAAAATTTTAACAGCCTCCTATGCCTTGGTGACTTCATTCAATGTGAAGTTTTGGCAGAATGTTTTAGGAGAAATTAAAGTCCAGGCATGCACACAAGGAATACCAGCTGATAAACATGATTTTTAAAGTGTTGGATAAAGAAGAATTGATAGCTGGTTATACCAGCTCCAAGATTTGCCCTTGTGGGCAGGACAACCGACCCATCATAGTTATTATGATCCATAATCTATGCCATACAGTGCCTTTAACAGCACTTTCTGTTTAGTATCTGAAGACATAAGGAATTTGGGGAGAAATAGCAGGGCGTCTCATCCTAGAAAACTACAAGAAACTCACAACAAGAGATCTAAACACTCTAAGAGCTTAAAAGCTTCATGGTAACAGCATGTTTCATAGCTTGCAGAAAACAGAACTGGCAGTAGAGAGCTGCAGCATGCCTTGGACAAGGAAAATGCTTTGAAGGTTTACGGAGAACAGGTTTGGGAGGTAAAAGTTAGGCTAAAGCTTTTGATACTTCACTAGCAAATTGTTTTCAGAAGGCCATGGCACTTTGCCTTTAGAGATCATCAAAGGCCAATGAGTAATACTAACAGCTGGGTAGAATAAGACAAGATCCAGCAAGGAGTCTCTTGCCACAGCCCTGCCTCCATCACTCTGCTCTAGATCCAAACAGCCAGAACTGCAGGACTAGCACAGGGACATCCAATGTTTATTCACACAGTGGTTTTGGACAAGGCTGCTGTGAGGAGCAACAACTACTGTTGCAGCTGACAGGAAGTTGGAGCATGAAGGGTTAAGTGCTTTGAGTTGACATTACCAGCTGAAACTATTTTTGCACTGCTACCCAAAGGACCTACTCCCATCAAAGGGAAGTGGTGGAGGATATGAAGACAGGAATATGAGAGCAGAGGTACCAGGCAGTGGAGGTACATAGGGCTATCAGCACACCATCCTGTTGACCTTGCAAAGAAAACAAATGGCAAAGACCACAGGCTGACTTGTCCCTTCAGTGGGCTCCAAACAACTCTGTGCTGCAGCTCTGAAAAGAGGGACACCTGAGCTAAGCAGAGCAGAGCTTGTCAAGGAGTTTGATAGAAGCCTGAGGGCTTTGCTTGACTTAAACAAGGAACAGAAATCAAAGCAACACAATTGCCTCACCCATGAATCATCTCTTCTCGTGCCTGAGTCTATCATGGGGAAGGTGACCACAGCATCTTGGCACATTACTAATGGAATAAAGGCCATTAGTGAAGATGAACAAGACTGTTTCTGCTGCAGCAAATGTGCACTGGCAGACGGGGTGTCATGCATATCTTCTGGTCCCCAGAGAGATGATGCTGAAGCACAACACACCTCAGAGAAGGGAGAGGAATGGGGACTAACACAGGGAAAGCATCGTAATGGCCTGATCCTTCAAATCCTCCACACTTCCACTATGTCTTGATGTTGTAGCACATGCACAGAGGCTGCAGAATAACTCTGTCCAGTGCCACAGGGTTTGTTTGCTCCAGCCAGCATGACTCTCTCTTACCAAGCACGTTTCTCTGCTTCCTCCTACACCCTTCCCACACCCACCAAACTTCTGAACTGATTTTATCTTTGTTTTAGTTATATGGTGTATATACAGTAACAAGAATCACAGAAATGAGCACGCAAACCTTTGCTTTTAAATTACAATCTCCAAAATTTCCAAGTTCTAACTGTACTGGCAGGTCTATCACTGAGCAGGAACTCCAAGCATTAGTATTTTTGTCCTGGGTCACCTAAGTTACACTTTAGATATCAAACATTGTCTCACTAATTATAATTTCTGGTGTTAATTCATGCAAATCACCTGCCACTTACAAAGGAACATGGGAATTCTCACTTCTACACACATTCCTCTGTGCTACAAGTCACATGAAGATGTATCGTGCAGATTGCAAGTGCTGTTTTACCCATTTAAACAATGCAATTTAGGCTGCCTTATGGGACTTTCACCATCATCACCAGACCTAGTCTGGTCAGGCCCTTCACACCCCTAGACCAGCTTACTTGAACACAATGCCCACCTCCATATATAGCCCAAACATTTACAAAAACACAGGACTAACTTCTTGATTCCTGGGTTCCTGAAAGAAAAATGTTTCCTCAGATCTTCAAGGACAGACAAGAATCTTTCCCTGTGCACATCACAACATATAAAAGCCACCATATTGAGATCTCCAGAATTCTTCAGGCAACAAGATGGTGATAAGTCTGACTCGGGAGGGGAATTCCTTTTAACCTCAAAACTGCAAAGTGATAATTGTCAACGTTTTTGTTAGCTTAATAACATGCTTTCAAAACACACTGATGCTCCCCATCTCCTTCATGGCTTACCATAGGCAACACAGAAATGAGACCCTGCATGCACAGGCCAAAAACAAAGTGACTCAATCAGCTGAATAGCTTTAGAAGACTTCAGATAATTCTTACCTGTGCCTCAGTTTCCTCTCCCTCAGATCTGGAAAACAGACAACAGGAAGCTTAATTAATAGTTTCAAACTAGCTTTTGAGATCTGAACATGAAACAACACAAACAGAAAAACAAAACACTAACTAAAACATTCATTATTTATTGTATTTATTAGAGAGCCTGTATCTCTTCTAGCCAGGCTCAGAGTCCTGTATTGCTGGGCACTCTGCAAGTATAAAAATGAAAGACAACTTCTACCTTGAAAATCACAGCAAACTGGAGAAGCAGCACCTTTCCTCATCATGTATTTGCTGTGCCCAGGCGCAGGCTGGGGGGAAGAGTGCCTGCCGTCTTCGGCAGTTCCAGCACTCATGCTGCAGGGGAGATCTGCAAAGGAAACACCATGGCTGAACCACAGACCGTCTGCCTTACTCCTTTGAGACTTCTGGACAATGCCTAGTGCCAGCAAAGCATGCTGAGCTGCCCAACCCAAGCACTTGCCAACCACATTGCTGGCTGCTAACACAGCTTTGGCAAAAGCCAAGCATGAGCTGCCTGCTGGCAGGGACTGAGTCCTGACCTGAGAAATGGGCTGAGCTCCTGTTTCCAAACTGTAGCTGAATGTGAGCTACGACTCATGATTGTACACTGTGGGTGGTGTGCAAAGCCCAGACGTGAATCCCCAACAGCACAGACAACTCTGCAGCAGTTCTTTGTTGGAAGGTTTGCAGAAATAGCTCTCAGTCTCCGTCTGGACAGCATGCTTGGCACGAGTACATCACCCATCTCTACATGTGTAGCCTGCTGTAGGGGGCCAGCTTTGCCGGGGCGTTGGACTTGATGATCTCTAGAGGTCCCTTCCAGCCCCTACAGTTCTGTGATTCTGTGATCTCCTGCTCCAGCAGGAGATTGGACTAGATGATGTTTCAAGGTGCCTTCCAATCCCTAACATTCTGTGATCTCCATCACAGAGCAGCACCTGCAGGCCAAGGGCCAAGCACTGGGTGGGCCCCGTGGCAGCACTTCCAGCCCCTCGTCCTACTGCACCGCTCCCTGCCGGGCAGGGAGCACAGCAGGGACGAATTCCCTCCGATGCGGTCCCCTATGAGGCCCCAACAGTTTTGTCTCTATTCCGGGGGGCACCCGGCGGCTCAGCTCCGACCCCTTAGAGGAGCCTCCTCACACCTCCCGCCTCTCTCTTCCCATTGGCCTGGGCAGCGCTTGTCGTGCCTCCATTGGCTATCTGGGCTGCTCATCAGGCCCGCGGGGTATTTAAGCGAGGCGAGGCCGGTTCCCTATCACTGTTGTTGAAGCCGAGGACGCAGGTGAGGTAAGCGAGGCAGGGCTGCTGGGGAGGATGTTGTGGGTTGGGCATCTGGCTTGTTCCCATACCTTGGGGCTCCTGAAGCTTGCTCTTGCTTTGCAGCCCTTCCAGAGATGGAGGGTAGAGGCTGGGCTTTTGCTTCTGGGGAGCAATAAGAGCTAAAATCCTTCTCATACTTGGGTTGTGTTTCTCCCCTATCAGCTTCCCCAGGAGCAGCTGCAGACCCAATGTTGTTTGCTACTTTCCCCTATCTCTAGGCAAAAAGATGCCTTGGGATGGGCTACTGGAGAAACAAAGTGATGTCTTGGTGGCAGTGCTGTACCTGGTATGCCACAGGAAAAAGATCTCAGGGCTAGAAAGAAGCCTCCAATAAGTTCTCGACAACCCTGTGGATCTGAGCTGTTTAGGTAGCTGCAGGTCCAAAAGCTCTTCCTTCTCTAGAGGGAAGAGGCAGGGTAGGGGGTCTGCAGGACATGGCTGTGCGTGATGTGCCTGCTGCTGACCTGTGATCAGGTGGGCATGCCCTTCCTGTTGACACTACTGCTACAGCTATTTTCCTGTGATGATCACTTGGTGGAGGCATGATTAATGGTGTTAACAAAGGGGTTAGCGCCAGGGTAACTTCTTGCTCGCGGGCAGACAGAGGCTGCAGCTCTGCATATAGCCTTTCCTGGCTGTTTGAAGGAGCACTTAGCAAACCAGTGTGGTGTTTCTCAATCCTGACAGGATTCTGCATGTGGTTGTAGCTACCTGAAACTGTCTGTGAAAGACTTCATTACCAAGGTTGGTTCTATTGAAACTGACAGATTAAAATTCCTGTTTAGTAGTCAGCAAAGCATGTTTCTTGCTCTGCAAGTTCCAGGTGTAGTCCAGAGCTCTGGGAGTTCTGTGCTTGCATTATAATCAGTGAACAGAAAATACTGGAAAGCCCAGAAGCTGTTTCTCTTTAGAGTAGAAGAAATGGTTTTAATTATCTCCAAAATCTAGGAGCTCAGATCCAAGGAAGTATTTAATAATGGCCACCAGCTGTGGTGTTCATTTTGCCTTGGGATTCTGGGAGGGAGCAATCCTTGACTCCACTGCAGAAGTGGTTTTAGCCTTTGAGGCTTCCTAAAAGTGATAGCCTTTCTAGAAAGGCTGCAGATACGTACTTCTGCCAACATCTCTGTATCTGCTGTTCCAAGGCCCAAATTCTCTAATCCCCCTTCTAGATCTTGCTCCACCCTGAGCGTTTGCAAACACTGTGATCGGTTGTGGACACTGCCATTCCCCCTGCAGCAGAAATTCTCTTGACCACATTATGTCAACCACATTTATGGTAACTAGGGTATCAATGACAAATCTAAAAAAAAAAAAATGCAGATAAGTGCTTCAAACAAAGATTAATACCTCTGTCCTGGACAGTCCTCCCTGCTTATATCTAAATTGTTAAATTCAACATTGTTAATATTCATTAAAGAACTGCCAGGTAAGCTATTGAACTAGGCATATTAGCTATGACTCAATCAGTGTTCCACAGATAAAACACTGAGGGGAGAAAAGATTCCTAATTGAGATCCTACCTCTCCATGCACAGGATGATGTAACAGCTTCCCGTGGCAGAACTTGTTTCCAGAGAAAAAGGAAAGCCCTGTGCGAGCTTAAAATTCGTTGTTTTTTTAATGTGTGTATGCTGATTGTTGTCAGAGACAGAAATGAGGGGAGCTGCTTACCCCAGAAAGAAAGCACTTTTGTGCCAGGCTACCCTGTTGCAATAGTTGTGATAGACTAAGGTGAAGAAAACAGGCAGGCAGCAGCTCTGGAGTTTTGGTGCCTTAACCCTTTGTTTTGCTGAATTCCAAGTTGTGCCAAATTTGGCAATAACCAGTGGTTATGTGACTATGTCACACTAGAGAAATGTGCTGAGAAGTTTCTTTTTTTCAGAAACTATTCTGAGAATGTTCTCCAGCAGTGACCTTGTATCTCTGCTGTAGTAATACGAAGTCATCTGCAAGACAACGCTGCCCTGCTAAGGGAAAATTGGTTTGCTTAATGCAACTAGAGCAAGTAGTGATGCTGCTTCTGCTTTCCTCCTTGAGAGGCTCTCTGCTGGTAGAGGGGACTGTGGGATTTCTGCTTGTGGTTACTCCAGTTTAGAGTCATGTCTCCCAACAGAGAACACAAAACAACTGATGCGGAGCTGCTGAGTACAGCGCTTCCCTGTGATCTGGAACCACATAAGATCTCTCATATATCTCACATAAGGTGAGAGCATAGAAAGAGAAAACAAAACTACACTGTCTGCATTACTCACAAAGACACATCCATGCTACAAGCACTGGAGTTGCAACACACCCCAATTCCTCCTCTGGAGGACAGCAAACTGTGTTCTAATATGACTGTACTGTGAGGATTGTCACTAACTGTTGCCTCCATAATTTAGGAGAGCTCTTAGTACTTCAGAGTTTGATTCTAACCTTGTATTTGTTGTGTTTTTTTAATCAAGAATTACTCCTGACTTACACTTACAGCTAGAGCACTACTTCTGGTTGTACTTTGTTCTGTGTACTGACCCTGACACCAGCCAGTAAGACACTATAGTATGAGTGTTTCTCACCTGTTGAGAAGTGAAGCAACTCAGCAAAGGAGTTGTTTGTAATGGTATTGAAATAGCTGAGCTTCTCTGCTTCAAAAAACAAACTTGTTTGAGAGAGGAGTAACTACTGACTGAGCAAACCATATGGACTTTGGGCCTGAAATTTGCATGCAAGACTTGCTTTTACTTGGAGTGATTTTTCTAGAAGTTTTCCCAGGCTGCTGAAGTTTAAACTGTATCTTTGATGTGGTATTATGTCAGCTGGCCCTCCAGAGGGGGGAAAAAGGAGAGTGTCCCAGTTTGTGACAACCCCTGCTATAGGCATGTATTCTGCATCCCTGACTGCCTTGCTCTTACCACAGTGCCAATTACTTGCATAAATAACTTGCCAAGCTGTCAAACACTGGCATTGATTACTGAGAAGTCTCCCCAAGCTCTGTCCATCATCAATTCTGAGCAAACAAATGACTGTTTCACTGTTTCTGCCCCAACACTCTGTTCCTGTTTCCAGAGCAAAATGTAAGAATGAAACAGGTCAGCGTTGACAAGAAAAAGAGACAGCAGTCTCTGCTGCTTATCAGATGGCAGGCATTTTGGATAGTCTGCCAGGGAGTTTAATTCTTGGCTTGGGAATCCTGTTTGTAAGGAATTCTGGTTTGAAGGTTTCCCACTGGAAAAATGCTGTAGGAATCCTAAGAGAGAGACTAGCTGGCAAGACAAGGAAGCAGATACTGCAAGGAACAACAAGTATGCTGAAATCTCTGCTATGCCTGACTGAGGCAAGATGCGATCTTAGATCTGTCATTATTCTGGTGTGTCCAGATGCCAAGCTTGATCTAGGCTAGTGAGACAATACACATTCAAGCTATTGTATCACTTTTTTTACTTGAACTTCTTAAATCCCATTACAAAGTAAGAATGCTTCTGAGACTCAGTATCATAGGAGGTGAATTTTGCTCTCCAGTAGGATGAGAACAAGTTTTTAAGTAGATAGAATGCTACAGCAGGAAAACAGCCTGCTGTTGTAGGTAAGCTCTGGAACATCTTCATATTCTTCCCAGAGCTGTGAGACTTCCAGCGTTGCTGAAGTTGGTAGCAATGCTAGAGTTTTCCACACAATAAAGGGGCATAGTAGAACTACTCTATAATATTAAATTGAGGGTTATTGAGCAATTATGTAACTTAGGGAGTTACATTTCAGCTGGGCTTCTTAGTACAGCAGTAACATCTGCCTGTGATTCACAACACTAGCAGGCATAGCTTTTTTTTCATGCAAGTCCTTGGGCAGTGGGAAGGTGCACATTTCACAGAAATGCACAGCTGAGATAAAGTACTTCTAACTTCCTTCTTTGAAGTTAGTCAAATGCTACCAGCAATAAAATAAGAGGGTTGCTTTGTTTAAAGTATTCGACTGTTTGGGGTTTGAGGGAGGTGATGGTGCACCATCTCTTGTTCTGTACATAGGCTTGTACACCGTAAGTCACACAGCCTCTCAAATACCTTCACATTCCTACAAGAAGGATTAGTGATTCTTCAAAGTTCCTAGACTGCTCTGGATCCCAACTTTTGTTGCCCTCTACTTCTCACAAGTATTACTATGACTGTGGTTCACTGGCAGAATCTTAAATTGTACATCTATGTCCTTTTTTAACCTTTCAGCTGCAGTTGACTTCACTATGGCATCAAAGCAGATCCCAAAAAAAGACTGGGAGGCTGAGGAACAGCAGCAAGAGGTAGGTACTCTATCATGTGGCAGTTAAACTACCTGTTAACATACAGTGGTTAGCAACTTCTGCCAGCATCTTAAAAACAGGCTGAGGGTAGCAGAAAGAATGACTAAATGAAGCTGTGCCTCAGTCTAAACTTAACTCACAGAAGCCAGTTTGCTCCAGGAAGTATTCCATGGCTGGCTTAGGTAATGCAAATAATTCTGCACCATTAGCTGTTATGGTTCCTACTTCTACATTTGAGCTTGATGGTGCTAAAACAAAGTGTGAGTCAGTCGTGACAAGCCTGGAGCTCCAGCTTCTATTCCTAGCTTGCTACTGACAAAGACTTATCTTTGAGCAAGTCTCTTCAACTCTGAGCCTAAAAAAGATGATGAGAGAGACTGAATGCCTTAGAATCTTTAATGGCTTCTATTCACACACCAGGTTGAGGCTGGGTCTCTGACTTCACACGTTTCTCTCTGATTTTAGAGTGCTGTCAACCGGATAACCAACCTGCCTTTGCTTAATTCTGCATTCAACCTGGTCTCATCTGCCTACAGTTCTTCTAAGGAAATGCATCCTTGCCTCAGTGGTGTCTGCAATGTGGCTGAGACTGTGGCTGCAGTTGCAGTAGGCAGTGTGGTTGGTGGGGCACAGCCCATACTGAACCAACTGGATTCACAAAGTAAGCAAGGGGGCCCTTCCTATACAGAAGGAGTAGAGGGGGAAGGGAGTTTCATGGACTTGTTCAGTGACATCCTTTTTTTTTTTTTTTTTTAGAGTACATTCTAATTAATGGTAGCATTCAGTCCCCTGCTTGTCTGTTTTCAGCAGCTCAATAATTTCACTGAATTTGGGTGTGATACTGTTACTAGAGTATGTAAAGTCTGGCCTTCAATGGGGTGGAAAGCATAGCAGTAATAGCAGGGTGGTAAAGTCTTTGGCTGTAGTAAATGAGGTCAAGCCCAAATGTAGTAGCTGTGGACACAGAAATGAAGGAAGAAAACTGGCTTACCTTTGGAAGGCCTTAGATACACAGTAAATCTCCAACAAGATCCCCTTGCCTCTACTGTCAACCCTTAAATGAGGTCTAGACAGAGGTGGATCCTGGCTCCACTCCTTCCAGTCACTCAGAGGCATTGCATGTACTTGATCTCCCCTGGGTTGGCCCTGCCTTCCCACCAAGTGCATGATCACTGCTTCAAGCTGTGACTTAGCATTTCTGCTACACCCACCACATGCATCTCATCCCAAAACAGTATTTTTGTTTGCTTTTGTGAATACTCTTTGGTCATTGTAGGGTCAAAACCCCCCTGCAAACTGAAGACTAAACTGGTACAGTCTTTTTTTTTTGTCTAGTTGCACTTGTAAATGAATATGCCTGTAAAAGTCTGGATCAACTGGAGGAGAATTTGCCTTTTCTTCAACAGCCAGCAGATAAGGTAAAAGCTTCTTCTGGGGGAGTCTGGCTTGATCTCTTGATGGAACTGTTATGGGCGCAGAGGAACTTGGAGAAATAAAATTTGGCAACAGCACTTTGTCAGGTCAGCCCCTGGTATGGGCTAAAGGACTCATAGCTAGCTGATGAAAGCTGGAGATATGCCTTCAGCATGTGGAAACAAACATGTAATGGTGTACTGTTTCTCTGGTCTACTGCCAGAGTGCAGACAGTTATCCACATGGAAAAGCTACTTTGGGGAAGGAAAACCTATTTCAGGAAAAAAATAATCTTTATCCACTTTGTTGTAGGTATTCTCAGAAACAAAACAGCTGGTTTCCACCAAAGTGACATCTGCTATGGATGCTGCCTGTGAGGCAAAAGAGGCAATGGCTGATAAAGTGACTGAAGCTATAGATCTCACTAAAAATGCTGTTGGGGATGGTGTTAAGCTGACCAGGTCAATGGTCACTTCCAGTGTTAACAATGCTGTGGAGGCTGCTCAGGGTGCAAAGGACCTTGTAACTAATAAAGTGAGTGAAGCAGTAGACCTCACTAAGCATATTGTGGATGACAGTATTGGGATGACCAAGTCTGCAGTTGCCAGTACTATTGTCAATGCTGTGGAGGCTGCTCAGGGTGCCAGGGACCTTGTCACAAACAAGGTGTCTGAAGCAGTAGACCTCGCTAAACACATTGTGGAGGACAGCATGGGACTGACCAAGTCTGCGGTTACTTCCACTATTGTCAGTGCTGTGGAAGGTGCCCAGGGTGCCAAAGACCTTGTGAGTAACAAGATGACAGAAGCTGTGGACCTCAGTAAGCATGTTGTGGAGGACAGTGTGGAACTGACCAAGTCTGCAGTAGCAAATACTATTGTCAGTGCTGTGGAGGTTGCACAGGGTGCCAAGGACCTTGTGACTAACAAGGTGACGGAGGCAGTAGATCTAACAAAAGTGGCTGTTCAGGATGGTATGGAGAAGACCAAATCAGTGGTTGCATCAACAGTCAGTACAGCTCTGGATGCTGCGTACAGCACCATAGCTAGCAAAATAAATACAGCCCTTCTGCAGAGCAGAGACGCCATCCAAGAGGGTGTGGAGATAACTAATTCAGTGGTGTTCAACAGTGTGAACAAAGCCAATGCAGTGGGACAAGCAGTGGCAGGTGGTGTTGAATCTGTTCTGGGTATATCAGAAGATCTGGTGGATCACTACCTCCCCATGACTGAAGAGGAACTAGGTGAGAAAATGCTGAACTAGCGGTTGTAAATGCAAAGCCTTTCTCACATGGCTAGAGAGCACCTGATGCTGAAAGAGTCATCTAAATAGACACAGCTCTGAATGTATCACCAGGATGGCTTTCTGTCAACACTTCCTTGCTGCTTGCTGTGGGACAGACTTCAAGAATTTGCTAGCTACTCCTTGTCCTGCAGCCTCAAGACAAACATGTGGGTGCCTGCTTCAACCTGTCTGTCAAGCCTGCTTATCTGAAGAGAACATTCTGTTCAGGGACTAGCCTACCTTTAATACCTGAGCATCTGTGAACCTCTACTGCTTATACAGCAACTTCAGTCTTCTACTTTTCCAGTGTGGGATTTTACTGCTCCCTGCCATTCCTTACAGCTAGGGGTATGGAGCACAGCTACACCTCTGTTCTTGTTTCCTTCAGGTGAACTTGCCACTGCTGTTGAGGGATTTGGTATGGCTTCTGTGGAGGAGCAGAAACAGCAGCAGAATTACTTTGTTCGACTGGGTTCCCTCTCTAGCAAGGTCCGCTACCGAGCCTATCAGCTCTCCCTGAACAAGCTGCAGCATGTTAAACAAAGCACTCAGAACACTCTCTCACAACTACATCTGGCAATAAATCTGGTACAAACATGTTATTTTTTTCCCCTTCCATCTGTAGCCTTTCTGCTTTAGGAATCAATTGTAGGTGCTTTTCCATCTTGCACCCAGCTGTGTCCCAGCCTGTCTGAAGTGCTAACAGAACCACTCTTGCTTAGCTAATTGCATATACATCCAATGCAACTATGCCTCTCATTTTTCCTATTAGATTGAATCTGTGAAAAAGGAGGTTGGCCAGAAGCTTCTGGATGGGCAAGAGAAACTCCATCAGCTGTGGGTGAGCTGGTGTCTGACTCAACCCAAGGGACACCAAGTTAAAACAGCTTCCCAAATGGAGGTATATGTGGGTGTATGTAATTGGACCTCTTGTGAATGGTGTGCATCTCATCTGCTACAGCAGTTGAGCTATATTTCTTTCCCGGCAGATGGAATCACGGACTCTAGCTATGCTGCATATCATCACTCAACAGCTACAGCCTATTTATGAGAATCTGAAAGTCAGCATCCATGGCCTCCCCTGGAACATCCAAGAAGCTGTGCATCAGGCAACTCAAAATATCAAGAAGCTCCACACTTCTTTTGCCAGTGCTAATTCTTTTCAGGATCTCTCCAGCACAACTCTGACCAAGAGCCGGAACCGTGTGGCTGAAGCCCAAAGGTCTCTCGATGTCCTGTTTGAGTATGTAACCCAGAACATCCCTCTAAACTGGCTTGTGGGTCCCTTCAAGGCAACAGATAAAGTGTCACAGGATAGCAGAAAGGTGAAAAAAGGTAAAAGTAATATAAAATCATTTGCCATAGAAAAGGCTGCTTCATCAAAGGTGACTAAGAGGCCTGAAGAACCAAAAGGAGCAAAGACGAATCTGGGGGAAGCATGTGGAATGCTAGAGAAGCTAGAAGAGAAGATAGGTGCAGAAGAGGTATTAGCTGCAAAGGAAATAATAACTAATGCGCTGAAGGAAGATCCCTGAGAAGCTCAGTTCATCTGGCGTAGGCTCCTAAGAATGTCTCTTAGTCTTTTAATCATATACCCAACTGTCAGTCGTGCTGGGTGTTCCTCCTGCTCTTACTGTCCCAGGATGAGCTTACAGGAAGATGTAGTTTGCAAGGAGGCTTGATGACCAAGGTGGGGTGATTCCAGATCTTGATGTATTTTTTTTCAATAAGCATGTTAATCCAAAAAAGGAAGGTAGAGGGTCTGTACTTCATCTTTTTTTATTAAGTCAGCACAGCTGTATGTGTGAATGGCAGTTATTGCTGAGACAAGCTGTGGATGGGAGGTCTCAAGTTATTTTTAATGTTGAATTATATTAATAACTTCTTCCAAGCTGCAGAGATCTTAAAGATTATGCGCTTGACCTTTGATCGTGTTTTCCTCCTGAAGTTTTAAAACGAAGTGTCTGTAACACAACTTCCTTTCTGACTTCAGCTTCCTGAGAGGCTGAACTCTGCAGCAGACCAGGAGCAGCTGGGGACAAGAGGCTGCTTCTCGGAAGTAACTTCTGTTTATCAGACAAAAACTTGCTCTTTTGTAGAGCGATTTTCGTGTAAGCATGTCAATCTGCAGTGGGACTATCTTTCCTGACTGTAAAAAGGACTTCAGGGATTACAATTAATTCTACACGTGGAATATTCTGTGGCTTTTGCTAGGAGTTACTCTGCTGTGCTAATATGACTATGCTGTAAACGAAACAGGGAGAGAGGTAGTGTTCCCAAGCAAACAATGCTTTGTAGAAGTGAACTGTTCCTGGTGTCACTTATTTTGTATTGGTATGGCACCACTGCTAGAGTTGGAGTAATGGCAAAGACTTGAAAATAAAACTTGTTCTTTCCTTTAGCCAGAGCAGATTGGAAGCTTGTGTTGGACAAATCACTTCTTGCATAATAAATGCATTCAGTGGGTAGCTGCAGCAGGAGGAACCCTCCTGGCTGCCCTTGCAGTGCTCCAGCCCCACAATGCACACACATCGCTCTCCCATCGTACCTCTGGCCCCTGACGCCCGGAGGAGTGATGCCAAAAGCCTCTCGCTATAAGAAACTGTAATTCTTATAGCGGATGTGCTTTTGTCAGTTTGCGTTAAATACCTCCAGGAGCTGTTACAGAGGGCGACAGCACACGGCGCCGTGGCTCATCCTCTGCCGCGGTGAGTGCAGCGGGCGGCCCGACGCGGCGGGAGGTGCTGGTTCAGGCCGGGCTTCCTGCCCTGGCTCCGCCCCAGCCCTCCGGCCGAGCCCCGCTCCACCCCGCTGTGCCGAGTTCCTCCGCTTCCTCGTGTGCCAGGAGGCCCCGCCCGGGCAGCAGTGACCCCGGGCCCGGGGCAGCGCGGAGCGTCCCACTTCAGGCCTACTCCGCGACTCCAGGACTGGTCCCGGAGGGCGTTGCTTGTGCGGGAAGGGGGTGCGTGGCGGTCTGGGAGCAGGGCCGAGGGCTCCGGGGCGGCCGTAGCGGGAGCGGCGCAGGTAGGATCGCACAGCCGGGGGCTGTGACGGGGAAACGGTGCTTGTGGTGCGGCTCCGCGGGAGCGCTGCGCGTCGGGGCGGAGAGCGGCGGCCGGAGGGCACGGTGAGAGCCACGAGAGGTCTGGGGGCAGTTGGGGCATTTCTCTGAGTCACAAGGCGGAAGGGTATCAACGAGTTACAGAGGTCCCGCTCTGCTCTTTCGATGCCCGGCCTTTCATTCCTTCCTTCCTTCCCCCCCATCGACTGTTTCACTGAATTGGTTTTCATTTAAAGAGCCACTAACTTCCTCAGGTTCAGCTTGAGCTCATTCATTAGACAATTAGACAATTAGACAATTTTTCTGAATGAGAAGAACAAATTTAAATTTTAGACTTTCCCCAGTTAAGAGCTATTTGTAAACACCCCAGTTTCCTTTATATGCAGAAAGCTGTTCCACCAGGCTCTTTGTGGAGCTGCAGGTCTGCTATTCAGTCTAACCCAGCTCAGCCAGCGTTGGTGAGTGCTGCGGTTTAGGAGAGCCCAGGGATTAGATATGGAAGGAGATCACACCAATGTCCACAGTGACATGAGACAGCCCAAGAGCAGATGTGTGGGTGTTCCTAGCCTTCCTGGGGTTTGAAAGGGCTTTATTTCCCAGCTTGCCACTGCAAAGAGCAAGAACAGCTGGAGGGGCCCTGGAGGAGACAAGTGCTTGGCTTTACCCAAATACATGATTAATGTAGCAGTGACTTTAAAACAGTTGTCTGTAATGTGAAATGAATGTGAAGAACTTACTCTTTGCTTAATAACAGAGTTGGAATTATGTGTGTAGCATGTCACATGCACTGGCATTTTTGTAAGCAGTTAACATGGGGAAAAAAAAAACAGAGCTGTGAGAGCCTGGGAGTTCTCTGCCCCATTGTTTCTCAGTGTGTTGTCCCATGTTCTTCTCATAGGTTCATTTGCTCCACTCTTCAGGACAGAGATATCTCACTTCTGAGACGAATCACTGAGCTGCAAAAAGCTATTGCTTGCATGGTACAGGAAGTACAACCAGGACATTGCAGAGCACTGCAGGGAAATAAACCTTGAACCTAAATGCTGTAATATGCTTTTTCCATTCATGCTGCTTCAGTCCATCATCTTGGCCACCAGCTGATGAGATGGCACAGAGTGCTGAGGTCCAGCCAAGCTTTGAGGACATTTTTAATATTAACAGGGATGCTCAGAGGGACACACTCAATAGCATCCCGGTTGTAGATCAGGAAAGATGTGGCTCAGCTATCAGCACTGTGGATTCAGATAGTGAGTTTCAGACACTGAGATCTGATGTGAGCACAGGATTTCTCCATATGACCAGCCCAAACAGCATGGTGAAAAGTTCCCCAGTGAAGATTAGAAACACTTCAGACCCTTCAGGCCCACAGACCTTGCAATCCTCAGGGATCTCCAATTCCTTCACCAATCTCCTGATCAGTCAATCGCCAACAGCTATTTTTCACATGCCGACTCCTTCCTGTGAGTCCAGTCGGCTGTGTGAAGAGAGCACCAGTGATACTGGACAGCCTGATGGAGAGAGAGAGAGCCACAGCCTGCAGGAAATGGGCAGCCCCAGCAGTCATTCCACTCAGGACACAAATCCCCAAGTCCCCCATCTGGGGAAGACACTGCAGGTCAGTTCCTGTCATCCATCTTTCCCTATTGTTGAAACACAGCTGCCCACACTGGGTGCTGTGGGCCAACCTGTTGAGAGTAATGATATTTCCAGCACAGTGATAGCAGAACCTCAGGTACCAAAAAAAAGCAGAGACCAAAAGCAAAAATTATCTACAAGTCTTCCCTATTCAAGAACGACAATAAATACTAGTCCTGCTTGCATACCCGTAGAAGACTCCTACATTCCAGCAGGCACTTCCAACTCTGCAGCTGCTTCCCCTTCAGTTTGTTCCTTTCCTCCTCAAACCTATTTCTCTTCAACCATTCCCCCTCCTCTTCAGAGCGTTCCTTACAACGTACCATTTCCCACTCCCCTCCACTCATCCCCCTTTCCAACTGGCCCTCCTCCTTTAAAAACTGTGGAAGCAGCACTGGCACCAGAGCCCAATGGTAAAAAGAAAAAGTTCTTCACTTTTGTTGTTCTTCATGCTTGGGAAGATGAGCATATTGCCTGTCGCATCAAGGACCTGCTGGAGAACATGGGGGTTCCCAATGGTGCCACATTCTGCGAGGACTTCCTCGTTGCAGGACACAACCAGTTGACCTGCTTTCAGGATGCTATGGAAAACTCTGCTTTCCTCATCCTTCTGCTGACCAAGAACTTCCTGTGCCACCAGTGTATGTTTCAAACAAACTCAGCTCTGATGGAGTCCATCCAGCGACCTTCCAAGTACAACTCTGTCATTCCTTTTGTACCTAAGGAGAATCCATTAGAGCGGAGTCAGATTCCCAGCATGCTCAGTGTGCTGGTGGCCTTGGATGAGAACTCTCCTGTGTTTGCCAGGACAGTGCAGAACACCTTTACCCCCGAGAAAATCAATGAAAGGAAGGCCATGTGGTGCCAGATACAGCAAGTCCAAGAGCAGAAAAGGAAACTAGAGCTATATCAGGATCACTGCCAAACACTGCAGAACTTAGGTGCTCTGACTGTTGGCTCCCTTCCCCAGATGTCTCCATCAGCAGTGCAGCTGAGTCAGTCAAGCCTAGAGCAGCTGCTGAAACAACTCCTGCCTCTCCAGTTATCCCAACAGTGCCATCCCCTGACGTCTGTCTCTGCTGCCACACACCCACTTCTCCAGGCTGGTCATCCCACATCTGCTCAGCTGGGTCTCTCTCCTTCCCAACCACCTAATCTCCCATCAGGCCAGCACTACAGGTCTGCAGATCCAGGAGGTGCCCATCCCATCATCATTCAACATGCTCGAATGGTTCAGATTGGGAACCACAACACAATGCATGTGGAAACTGCTGCACCAGGTCCACAGGACAGTGGGGAAGAATCCAGGGAGAATGCTTAATCAGAGATGCAGGTCAGCCAGAATCATCCACTCTTCATTTCAAACCCTAGACTAGAGAGATTCTGTTGGAAAAGGGACTGCTCTGATTTCACTGGGGGTTAATAGCCTCTATTTCTTGGAGCACAGGAGAAAAGTGCCTTCTTTTACAAAGAGATTCTCATTTCCTAAGACTACTATCCATTTGCTTATTTTCCTTCAACCGAGCAAACAATTTTCTTGATTTTCTGAGGATTAACTGAAAGGTTTGATAAATAAATTTTAATTAATTTATATTTCTCCAGTTGTTTCCTGTAAAATCAGAAAAGGGACAGCTGAGGATATCTCTGTATGTCTGTAGCTTTTACATGGAGGGGGCTGGGAGATAGCACATCTGGATTATGTTTCATAATCTGCTGCTGACCAAGTCATTTGAGGGAAAATCTTCTGAGAACTCTTTGGGGAGTCACCGTGGCCTCCTGTGAAGGTGCTCTGCACTGCAAGGTCACACTGTTTTCTTCTGGCTGCTCTCTTTGCTCATGGTTGCAATGTGGCCTGCTCATATCAGCGCCTAGTTTGTGTGCATGGCACGCTCCCCTTGCTGCTGTGCAGCACCATTTCCCCCAGCCTCACATCAGACCTAAGAAAATTCATGAAACTTGCTTCAAAAACTTCTGAGAGGCTGTAGGCCCCTAGGCTGAGGTATCAGGAGATCACTATTCTCCGTTCTCCCCTGAAACTGCAAAGAGACAAGCTTTGTGTTTGTGGGACAGAATTCCTACATGCCCCTAGAGGCATGGTTTAAGAAAAATATTTTTGTTTCTAAGAAAACTGTTAAACTCAAAGGACCAAGATTATACACCACGTATGAGGCTAAACAAGAACTTTACAGTAAAACTGCACATTGAGAAAAACAAACAAACAAACAAACAAAAAAAGAAAACCACCAAAGGTAGAATGCAAAGGGAGAAAATTTGGAGAAAGTCTGAGAAAGCAGGAGCTGTGGGTTCTCCTTTATCTGTTTTTAAAAGTTCAGAGATGGGATTAGGCCCTGCTAGACTGGCTGTTATACATAGAAATATGCTCTATTGAGATTATTCCTTCTATTTATGTTACCAGCATTGTGGGAAAAGTTTGACTCAAAACCAGAAGTGTTGAGCAGAGCATTACAAGAGTGGAGAAAGGCCAGTGACATGGGAGATATTCTGCAGGATCTGGGCAATGGCTCTATGAGGCAGACCTCTACTAGGCTTTTAGCACAAGGATGGCATCTGAAGCACAAAGCCAACCTGCTTGCTCAGCCTGATGGGTGTTGCTATGGCCATTTGCCTGTTCTGTCAGCAGAGGTCAGACCAAAGTCACTAAGCGTCTAGAAACTGTTTCCTCTGCCAAGCAGACTCAAACTAACAGCATCAAACTCCAGACCGTACTGGCACTGCTCCAGGGTCCATGCAAGCTGTAGGGCAGCTCACCCTACTCCTCACCCTTGGAAAAGCCAGAGAACTACCAAGTGCCTATTAAAGACAGCCTTCAGGGCCAGTGCAATTGATACACAGCAGGTGACTCCCATTCCTGGTATTTCTGCTGATGTTTGTGTGCTCATGTCACTCTGAATACTTGCCCTGGCATGTTTCAAATCAAGGGAAGCCAGCGTTGTCTGGAAGCCAACAAGCAGGACTACTACAGGCCATCCTGGTCATGTACTATCCAAGCAGAGTGCCCAGAGGGTGATAGAAGACTCATGAGTCTGTTCATAGAATATCTATCTCCCTCCCTCAACGGAGGCTTAGCTCCTCCTGGGCCTCCTTGGCTAGGACCTAGTGCAAGACAAAGGGCCTTGGACAAACCAAAGCTCTCTCTGTCCTGCTTGAGCTGCCATCAATTGCTGGCTTCCAGCTTTGAAACAGTTTGGCTTCTATTTCTCACACTGACCCAGTAATAAAGGATTAACTCATTTATGCTTTACAGAGCCTGCTGGAATTCTCCTGGTGGTTGCATTCTTTCTAAAGATGATCCTATTTTTTTTCTCTTCTCTACATCACCTTTGTTAGAATAGGCATTGTATTACTGCAACACTGTCACTGCAGTTGTGCAGCCACCAGGGCAGCCCCTCTCCTCCAGAGAAAGCATATACCTCACTCTTGCTCCATTTATTATGCTTTCTATAAATAAACACTATGCAAACCTGGTCAGCTGGAAGCAGCTCTAGTTTGTAAACAACCTTAACAGTCACAAGAAGTTTGCTTGGAGTGGAGAAACAGAGAAAGACACAGCAGCAGGCAGTAAAACACTCTGCAGGGTGTTTTTTTTTTAAGCTTATTGTGCACTGATTTCCAAGTGACTCAAAAGGAGTGACTGCCACATAACAGACAAAGCCCTATTTCAACTGCAGCACCAGGTTCACTCACTCCACATTTTCAGGGCTGTCTTTACTCTTGCTCATCATGGAAAGGAAGCTTGTCACTCTTTGTTTTCACCAACAGAACATACATGTGCTTGTGGCCCTTTGATTTTTCCCCAGTTTCTCTGTGAAGCTGAGAAATGCTCGACAATGACCAAGCTATTGCAAATTATTTTTGAGGAACAATCTGTGAAGGGAAAAACTTTCAAATATTTTATCCATCTTTTCCTGTCCTGCCCAGGGAAGGCTATTTTTGAAATCCAAATCCTTGTTGAGAAACTAGCTTCAGTAACTTTAATTCTTTCGCTTTGCTTTTCATCTCCCACTGATAAGCCACCCCGCCCCCCCCACACTGGGGCTTAAAAAGCCCACTGGGGCTTAAAAACAAATTGATGACAGCACACTGCACCCGTCTTCCTGCCTGTCCTGACTGTGTATAAGGCAAGTAAATCTGAGTCAAAAGATTATCAACCCTTCCTACTTCATTTACATCAAAAGACAAAGCAAAGTATATGAAGATATGTCATTCAAGTATCACTGTTATCCTTTTTCAGGGGAAATGTTTGCAACTGCAGTGTAGATTAACTCTTCCCATGAGTAAATTCAGATGAAAAGAAAGAGAATTACCATATCCACAAGCATACCATTGCTATGAAACAAGGATTTGAAAATAGAGGCTCACCAGCAAGAAGTCCAAGGCACTTACATTCTAGCAGCCTTTTTTTTTTTTTTTTTTATTTAAAGTTAAGAGCACTCATCAGCTCACAAATTAACAAATTCCATTCCTGCATCTTAGATCAAGTTTCAGCCAAACTGAGGGGGAAAAAATGCAGCAAAACTACATCTCAGTAAAAGTTAGAACTCCTTACTTTATAAATAGAAGTTATAGTTAACACTGCAAAAATGTAATGGCAGATCTCTAGTATCTTTGAGGGGCAGAGAGTATTGGATTATTGAGGCTTATGAATATGCTGGCTTATAAATACACATAGAGAAGCTTCAGAAGCATATAGCGCATGGCTGTTTACCGGGGTTCTGTACTCCCAATCTTGACATTTCTCAAAGCTGAGGCAGCCGCTTCACCCTCAACGCACTTTCCGTTCTGCCCAGACCAAAAAAGGAGCCAGAGGGCGCCAAAGTCCCTCCTCCTGCAAGATAAACTGCTTGAACAGCATCATGTTTACACCAAGAAGGGTTCTGCTAATGAAGGCAAATACCTACCCCAAGACTAAAAATTCAAAGAGAAAAAAAAGTTGCATGCAGATTCTAATTAGAGAAATGAGCTTGCCAGTAGCCAGATGAGATTTCAAATTCTATTCCTGATGTAGCACCACCACCCTCAGTAAATATATGGAAAGAATCAGAAGCCAAAAAAACAGGTATTAACAATCCACTTCATGTAGGTCTTCAAAATGGGATACTAACAGAGCCCCCTGGTTAATATCAATAATCCCAGAAGGCACCTTTAACTTACATCTCTTTCTTCTTTCTTCCTTCTTCTTTCATACAAACATGCCACACTCGCTGACTCAATTCAGAAACGCTAAGCACTACCCATACTCACACTGTAAGTACTTCCCATCCTAAAGGGGTCTGCCAGAATACATCCTCAGAGATGGTTAAAAGTGCATAGGCTGGGCTCTGAAACCTGGCTATATTCATTCTGTACAGCTCAATGTGATCACCTGCTGACTCTGGAGCTAAAGGACCCCATTTGGGAAAGGGAGTTAATGTGTGCAGAATGGGCAAGGCAAAAGCTTGAATTCCACATTAGCATTTTGTTTCTGAGGTCACAGGTTTTCTTCCCCATTCATATCAATATCTACTGATGAAACTGTAACCAGAACCGACCTTGCTATCTTACTTGGATTGAAGTAGTCTTGCAGCATAGATAGGGCCTGGCTCTAAAAGAGAAAAAATAACCGATTTTTATGCACAATCACTGAAATCTTTAACATCACTTCCTACATGGCCAACCAAGGAAAAAGGAAAACAAACAAACAAAAAAATAATCAGCATACCCAGCTCTACTGTCATGCAAAGCAACTACCTCAGCAGAGAATAAGCCACTTTGCCATCAGACCAGTACTGTATCAAGTCTGAGGAGGGGGCAGGGAAAGAACTAGTTGGAAAATACTTTATTCCCCTCTTGCATTCCTAACTGTTCAGTATTTGGGATGGAAGGGGATAGAGTGCATATGTGACATGTAGCTGCTCCAAAGCTTAATGCTGTGTTAATTCTGCACTAATGAGAAAGGGAGCAGGTCCCAGGGATCTTCATTTTCCTTCCTCCTCAGGATAAGATGTTCGTATGGAAAAGGGCAGGGGCTGCAGCCTTCTCTGGATACAGTGCTCTATGGAGACATCTAGTACCTGAAGGTGGCAATGAAGGATAGCCATGAGCTCTTGATCCTTCTCCTCCCCTACCCCCGCACATGCCAGCTTGATGGTGACAGGTAAGGAAAAGCTTGCAGCCCATCAACACAACAACGGCCTTTGACACCTAGACAAAGATGGCCTTAAGTTTCGGGCTGCGCTACTTCCTGTGGGCTAAATAAGTGCCAGGAAAGGCTTGGGAGTTCAGCTCTCCCACTCTAGTGTAGTTCAATGAAGGCTTCCAGCTCCTCAGGGATGAAGCCCTTGTAGGGAATCTTGTGCTTGTCCAGGACACGAGCAGCAAGGCACTGGAGGGTGATGTAATTGAAGGGCTGCATCATGCTCTTGGAGAGCAGCTTCTCATCCAGCAGCTCGTAAGCAGTCTGCTTGAAGGCATTGGTGGCATCCATATGGGCTCCAGCCTCCATCAGTGCACTCATGATCAGTGGGCAGTTATTGCGAGCAGCAACATGCAGCGGGGTATTGTTGTCATAGTCACGGCTGTCTGGGTCAGCCCCACACTCCAGAAGCAAGTTAACAACATGGAGTGATGGGAATTTGCCCACTGGGTAACGTCCCACTGTTGTGGTATCTTTGTCCACAGCCATATGCAAAGGGGTGAAGCCATTCTTGGCTCGAGGGCTGCACTTCAGCAAGCGGTAGATAGTTTGGCGCTTCTGGTGCTCCTGCTCTGGGGTGCACTCCACCTTCTCCAGCAGGAAGACCAGGTGGAGAATAATGGCCAGTGTCTTGGTGAACTGTGCCGAGTCAACTACAGGATCCTTGCCATGCATAAGTGCTCTCTCTACCTCCCGGACACCTTTGCTTAGTACTCCCATGAGATCAGAGAAGCCCAGCTGGGTAGCTAAAGTGCCTTTGGAGCGGTCCTGAAGCACATAAGAGAAAAGCTCAGCAAAGGAAAGGAAACTGCTGGCAGTCATAGGGCTGAGAGGCTCCAGATTGCCTTGCTGCATGTCAAGAGCATACTTCCACAAGTTAATACAGCGTTCAAAATTGCCTGAGTCAGCATAGACAGCCCCTCGATAGCGGATGTAATAGGAAGTATCTGGGTGTGAAGGACCCAAGATGCGCTCTCTAATGAGCAGTGCCTGCATGCGCATCTCATCTGGATCAGTAATCAAGGCTTCTAGCTCCTCCAGTGAACTTACTTCTCGTGAGTAGTCATATGCCAGCACAAGCTGCCGTGGTTCAGGTTTAGGTAAGTACTGCCCACCCTCGTATCGAAGCTCCATTGCCCTTCGCCAATACTTGTGGGCTCCCAAAAGGTCACGTTTCTTATCCACAAATGTGGCACCTAGCAACTCCAGTGCTTCCACAGCAGCCTCTCGAGTGCAGAACACATTAGGAACCTGCTGGTCATCCCGACTGGAAGCTGATGCACAACATCTCTCATGCTGCTCTTTGTCGCAGCCCTCAGGAGTTTTCTGACCAGCACTGCAGCACCTCTGATGGCTCCCACCCAAAGCAAACGTCTCATTTTGGTTCCCTGCAACATCCTCTTCCTCCTGCTGCAGCCCTCCCTGGATGAGATATTCTACAATATTGGTATGCCCAGTGACACTGGCAGCCAGCAAAGGAGTCATGCCATAGCCATCTTTCTCCATGCGGGCTTTGGAGCGGAGCAGTAGCTGCAGGATCTCCAGGCTGCCTGACTCTGCACAGTCATGCAGGGCCGTGTTCCCCTTCACGCTCCGGCGGTTGACATCAGCCCCTTTCTCCAGCAAGTAACGTGCAATCTCCCGGTGCCCTTTGTAGCAAGAAATCATCAAACAAGTGTGTCCATGCCGGTTCGCTACCTCCAGGTCAGCCCCACGCTCTCCAACCAAGTAGCGCACAATCTCCAGGTGCCCGTCAAAGCAGGCGGCCCTCAGCGGCGTGGAGTTGGTCAGTGTGGTCTGGTTCACTGAGGCACCGTGATCCAAGAGACTGCGCACCACCCCCAGGTGCCCGGCAGCAGATGCGGCCCACAGCGGCGGGGCCCCCTCGATGGTTTCTCCATCGAAGTTGACAGATCCGCCCTCTTCCACGCGGGCCCCACAGTGATCCAGGAGGTACTCCACCACCTCCAGGTGTCCGTGGCGGGCAGCGATCAGCAGCGGAGTGCTCCCACCCCCTGGGCCGTCACCTCCACCGGGCCCTGCTGTCAGCGCTTCCAGTTCCTCCCGACTGCGGCTGCCCAGCAGCTTCTGCAGCAGCTTTAGCTTCCCATCGCGGGCCGCGTTGTACACGGCCGTGCGCAGGTCCATGGCGACGGGGGCCGCGATGAACGCGTCGGCTGCCTCCTGGCCATGGACCGGTTCCGCCTCCGCGGACCCAAATCGGCCCCGGGACGGGGGACGGGCGAGGGCGGCCCCCGGCGGGGAGGAGCCCTACGGGAGCGGAGACATTCGGTGAGGCGGCCCTTACCCGGCGGCGGCAACCTTCACTCTCTTCGCCCGGCCGCCATCTTAGGTTGGAACGAGAAACAAAATGGCGCCCGGACGGCTCCGGGAACGGAGCTGGAGGGAGATGATGGGAAATGTAGTCTCGCGCCCGGCAGGCAACGCGAGGGCTGCTCCGTAGGGACTCCGTCTCCCGGCATGCAGAGGGAAAGGGGCCACCACAGCCTGCGCCGAGACTCCGTGCAGGACACTGTGTGAAATGCAGTCCGAGCGAGGCACGGAACGCAACCCTTCCCCGCAGATTGCGGGAGTGCCGAGGCCGCGTTACCCAGCGCACCCCGCGCCCCGTCAGCGCAGGGGCTTCTGGGGGAGGAGGAGGGTGGGAAGCGGTGGTGGTCGTGGGGGGCTGCGGAGCGGCTGCAGTGAGCGCCGCGGTCTCCGTTCCACAGCGCGGATTAGGCGGGGACTGGCAGTGAGGGCCGCAGCTCTCCCAGGGAAAGGAGAGCGGCTTGCCGGAGGTGGGTCCGGCTCTGAGTTGGTCAAAAGGCGGAAAAAAAAAAGTCGCTCTGTGCCGGGGTACCCTGAGAGCCCCCAGCGCGGCTTGGGGCCTCAGCTTCTGTGTAGAGCCGGTAGGCTCTTGACTTCCAAAACCCTTCTGTAACCTTATGTGTACAAATTTCATTGGAGATGTGATTTCTGTTCAGTTCCTTGAAGTGATTCAACTCCAAAAAGCCAGAGCTGCACACGTCTGGCTGTGCGTTGTGAACTGCTTGGGGTAGGCAGTGCTGTGGACGGACAGGGCCTGCCCGCGGCACGGCGCTGTCAGAGCAGCGCTTACAGAGCGCAGGACACAACGTGCAGCTTTGTTTGTGCCCAAATGGTGACGCGGAGCGAGGCACAAATATTTAAGGCCATAAACAGCCTGGTTGAGGTTAGTAAAGCTTGGGTTACCGGAGCCTATTTTTAGGGTGCAAGCCAAATTTAAGTTGCTCAAATCTTTATATGGGGAATTGGCACCAGGTTTCTCCTGTTGTGTTTTATTTATAGCATTCTTCTCCTTTCCTGGTAAATAAGATTAGCCTCATTATTTCTATTACCATTACTTGGTCTATAATTGTTATTGTTCAGTCCATCCATTCTTCCACCCGTTTAGGTCTTGTCTGGAATTACCTAGGATTATCCTGCTAACGCATGTTGCCTTCACACAGAATATCATTTTTGTTGCTTAGAAACTGCTTTTGCATAACAGACAGCGTGGGCCTAATTTTCACTTCAGCAGTTGTTAAAGTCACTGGGAGAAGCAGGTGCTCAGCACTCCTGACAGCCAAAGCCAAAGTGTCTGTGACAGAATTCCCACACAGTGTTGAGCTGCATGCGTGTGTGTCCTCTGCATGAGCAGTGTGCTTGGGGACAGAGCAGCTTCACACTGAAAAGAAAACAAGCCAACTTTTCTGAGCATCTTGGATGTGCATGGTATGCAAGTGCTGCGTGAGAACAGGAGAAGTGGCTGTGTGCACTGGAGTATTTGCTGTATGACTATCCTAATGTTCCCTCTGCAAATCCACACCTGTGTTCACAAGCTAAAAATTGCGTTCACCTACGTAAATAGTTGTCAGCAATGAGTTTGGACACAGGTGGTCCATTTTAATGGGGCTTCGTGTGTGTGTGCATGCACTAGCTGACTATAGAATCATAGAACCATAGAATTGCTCAGGTTGGAAAAGACCTTAAGGATTATCAAGTCCAACTGCAACTTAACCATACTACCCTACTCTAACAACCCTCTGCTAAACCATGTCCCTGAGCACCACATCCAAACGGTTTTTAAAGACATTCAGGGATGGTGACTCAACCACCTCCCTGGGCAGCCTATTCCAGTGTTTAACAACCCTTTCTGTAAAGAAGTTTTTCCTGATATCCAACTTAAACCTCCCTTAGTGCAACTTGAGGCCATTTCCCCTCATCTTGTCACCTGTCACCAGTGAGAAGAAACCAGCCTTGCTCTTGCAAAAATTAACTTTCAGGTA